ACTATAGCTTGATGAATAACAAAGAAAGAAAAGACTTTATCAAAGGATTTTATCGAAAAGATCGGAGAAAAAAGAAAGGGAAGTACAATGTCAACGAGGAGCTCGTCAAATACTGCAAACAGGATGTTAACACTCTACGCGTCTGCTCTCAAGAATTCCGAAAGTTGTTCATGGGTATTTCAGGCGGGCTTTGCCCATTTACTTCCGCGCTAACAATTGCGGGTATATGCCATTTTTTCTGGCGCGCACGGATATTGGAAAAAAACCTTATTGCTATTGTAAAAAACCCTAGTCAGCGCATGCAATCAGTCAAATGTGGTAAATGGTTGTGCTACATTGAAATGACGGAAGGCAAAGCACTTGCAAGGGAAAAGAAGATTGGAAAATTTTACGTGGACGGCTATGACGAAGAAGCGGAAATTATTTACGAATTCTATGGCGACTTCTGGCACGGCAATCCCGCAACCACGAAACGCACATTTGTAAATCCTCATCTCAAGCAAACGATGGAGGATTTGCATGCGGCAACCGTCCAACGGGAAATTGCCCTTGAGCAAATGGGATACTCTGTTATTAAAATTTGGGAAAGCGAGTACGATCAGAAATTGGTAGACGATGAGGATTTTCGTGAAACAATAAAAGATATTCATGTTCACGCACCTCTTCAACCCCGCGATGCTCTATATGGCGGCCGGACCAACGGGACACGGTTGCATTATAAATGCGAGCCCGGAGAACAAATACGGTACAACTAGTTAAGTAAAGATTATAATTTCAATTTTAATGAGAAGTGTTTTTTTTAGGTTTGCCGATGTCATTTCGGAATATCCCTTTGTGAATTCGCGGAAAAGATATCCAGTTGGCCCACACGTGCGAATTACTGCGGACTTTGATCCAAACTTGGAAAATTATTTTGGACTATTTTACCTGACCATTCTACCGCCCAAAAGTCTATGGTTACCTGTTCTACCTTACCGTACCGAAAAATTAACTTTTCCGCTATGCCGGCTATGTGCTGAAACGCAGCAAAATTCTAGCTGTCAGCACACAGACGCCGAAAGATCACTTACGGGCGTCTGGTGCTCTGTGGAAATCATTAAGGCACTATCCTTGGGATATACGGTGGTAAAAGTCTACGAAATTTGGCATTTTCCGAGTTCTCGCGAAGGTTTATTTAAAGAGTACATCCAGCATTTCTTGAAATTAAAAACGGAAGCCAGCGGTTGGCCCTCTAATGTTAAAACAGAAGAAGAGAAAAAGCAGTATATGGAAGAATTTTTACTTCGAGAAGGTGCATCTATTGACGCCGAGAAAGTGGAAAAAACCTGGGGCTTCGCGCCCTTGCAAAGTTATTTTTAAACAAGTATGTCTTCTGTTTCATTAGGTATACATTAGCTGAAATTGCTTAACGTTTCTATTCTCTTTGTAGTTTTTGGGGCCGACTCGGGATGCGCGAGGATAGATTGTCTACACAGTTCATTTCCGAGCCCAAAGATTTTTACGAACTTTTATTAAATGATGCGTTGGAAATTCACAATATCGAATTCTTCAGTGACACCGTTATTCAAGTTGCGTACAAGTCCAAGGAAGACTTTATTCCAGTTAACCCAAAGACTAATGTTATCCTTGCGGCGTAAGTGTAAATTAAATATAATAAATATGTTCTTTTTAAAAATATTTATTGGTTGGATGATTTAGGTTCACGACGGCCCATGCCCGCCTTCACTTATACAATTATATGTCTCAAGTTGGACGTAACCTGATATATTTTGATACTGATTCCTTAATGTGGATTCATCGGCAAGGAGATCCTGAAGTTCCATTGGGAAACTACATGGGGGACTTGACAAACGAATTAAATGATGGTGAATTCATCACAGAGGTCACCGTCTGCGCTCCTAAATCTTATGCTTATGTGACGAACAAAGGAAAGCATGTCTGCAAAGTTAAAGGTTTTACACTCAATCGAACTATCAAGAAAACACTTAATTTAAATACTTTCACTTCACTCTGGACGACCCTGGACCTCAAGTGTACCCCTTACGGTATTCTTCCGTGATACGGCGTAATAAACGGACCCTTGAAATTGATGCTGTGGACCAGGTAAAGCGCTTTAAGCTTACCTATGATAAACGAAGGATACTGCCGGACTTGACGACGCTCCCGTTCGGGTACGTCGACGAAAATAACGTTCCTGTTTGATTTTTATCAAGCTCTTGCTGCTGCTGCTGTTGTTGTTGCTGTATTGTCGCTATTGCGATAGGCAGAATAATATCGCCTACTAGAATTATTATCACCAGGATAATTATACAAGCCGCAGCAAGCGCTGTGAGAGCTGGCTTGTGTTTTCTTTGCTGCTCCATTTTTGCAAATAACTCTGGCACGACATCACTGGCGGTTCTGCTGACTGATGACTTAAATAGTATCGATGTCTTTGAACTATTGAATAATTTTGATTTTACTGTATTTTTATTTTGCTTACACTTAAAATAAAATAAAGATAAACAGATGCAAGACTTGGTTGATTTGGTTGTACAGCAGATTGAATATTATTCAGTAGCAGTATATACGTGATAAATTTTGAAAACCGAAATTGATTATCATGAAAAGTAAAAATTATGCTATAGAAAAATGTTTTTGCTTCACTGAATATTTTTACGAAATCAGCTTACTCTGTTGGTCCCATTTTCCGCTTTGACCTTTGCTCCTGCTCAGCCATATAGACTTGCGTTGTGATGCTAGCACAGTCGTAATGTCAGCCTGCAAATGGTTACACTGATATTTACAGCAGATATAACTGATCAATTGCTATAATACATTAAAATTATAATAAATTATTCAAATAGTTGACAAACGATTATTTAAGGTGAATTTTACTTTGGCGCTTGATATAGCCGCAGTCCGTTGTAATTGTGGTAAATTATCTGCAATTAAGACAGTTTAATGATACTAAAAATAAAATGCGGTAAACTAAAGGTATAGCATTAATTCGGATGTAACAATATTAATATTATGCTAGGAACACAGAATAATTTGGTTCCGAATATTAAATTGTACCGTCGTAGACGTTCACGCAATGCTGTGTGTGTGGTCAGATGGTGTTCCTAATAGTATCGCTATCCCGCATGTAATAACCTGTAAATAATTAATTTCAGTCATTAATTGCATTCGGACTCATAAAGTACCTATAATATAATGTTCAATAATAATTAACAAGTCTTATAGTATGAAACAGAGAGCAAAAGATTAAAAGTTGATTTTTAGGCAGAAAGAAAAATTTCGTCTAGATCAGTGTTGAAAATTTTCCGATAGAGCCAGGGCAAACTTTACAAGTCCCGAAACTGTTTACTGGATTACAAAATCCTAATTCTGCACAAGTACAACAAAACAGAAAGTATTTAGTGTAAGCCTTCGGAGTATTAGGTAAAAAAAGTTAATTAGTACATAGTAATTAGACATAGAACTTACGGTGGAGTTCGTGCGGAAAAAATGTGTGTAGTGCCACCAGGAACTTTTTCTGGCCACAGACGTACACGCACACACGCTAAACAGACGCCTAAAAGGAAGAAACGATATCACAATGGAACGGCCAGCTAGATCACAAACATCACCATTATACTTCATTCACAAGCATATACAACTCATATTTGTACGTACCTGTTAAATTTTCTAACGTTTAAGCGTAAAATTAGAGATATTGTATTTTAGGGAGAATCGCAATCGAAAACGTATGCATTCCAATGCGATTGTTCAACAGAAAGTGATGGAACATCACGTTCCATCGTGTTGACAGTTAAAGATTTTTCTAACCTCATAAGTCTGTGCTAGTGAGAATGAATTCAGTCAGTCATCTCCAGTCTGCAACTTCAAGATTTCCAACAACATGGCCAGCCAGCAAAGCAACGAGATTTCATCCACCATTCCGGAGGACAGCGATCTTCCAGAAGAAATCCGCAGATTGAATCTGGATGCGGACACCATCGCGTTTTTGCGTCGTAGCGCTCAGCAGGCAAATTGTAAGTCGTGTTTATAAATTTTCTTAGCTTTTAGGTAATTAAATCATTTTTTAGTGCCTTTGGCATTTTTTGCCTCTAAAATTACGCCCCAGATGCATGAAGAAATGAAACAGGCGGCCAAATGGAAGGCCGACTTGGACGACGATCTTTACCATAAAAAGCAGTTTTGACAATATCCAGTGTTTTTGGCTTTGCCAAATTAAACTAGATATATGAAATAGGATGGCAAAGTAATTTTTAGTAATTTGTTACTTGAAAACTGTATACTTGGTGATTCTGTGGCAATTCTTTTAATACGAAGGTAATTAACTAAATAAAATTCTCAGACGATAATCGGGCGCAGTGTGGCTTTGTAACGCATATAGGTAGCGGTACAAACAGGGGCGTTATAGGTAACAGTACAACCAGGGGCTGCGCAGCGAGGGGGGCGGGGGTGAGGGGGGGGAACCGAGGGAATGGCAGGAAGCTGGGCTGCGGAGGGCGCGGGGTTGTGACGGACGCAGAGCTGTAGCGGATGCGGGGCTGTGACAGATGCGGGGCTGTAATGGACGCGGGGCTGAGAAATTTGCGGGCCACAACAACGGACGATGGGGAATAACGACAAAAGCAGAGACGACGGGGTACCCGAGGAGGATTTTGGGATAGGCCACGCTGAATGCGACGGTAGACGGGGGGAAAGACGGAAGACGTTGGACTGGCGGACTCACAGGTAAGCCTAGTGCAGACTAATAAATGATTTTGCTTAATTCAGCATTTTTTTCTGTACTTTTCCCCCGTATTTTTCTGTATTCTTTATTCTGACGGCAGTCTGTATGGCACTAAGAATTTCACAGAAATCTGCTCAATTTTCTTGGTTTAATTTTTAATTTACTTGTATTCGATTCCTTTCTATATCGGCCCCGCGAGTTGGTTGATTGACTGGGCCATCCGAGGAATTTCCCGATGGACAATTAGGATGATGGCTTTGATCAGTATGGGAAAACGGAGGATGACTTGGAGGCCGCGCTGTTCAACATTCAGAATGCTCCCTTCCAAATGCGTGTCACCGATCGACTGGGTTTTCATTCCCACAGCCGGAGTACTCGATTTTCCGACGGTGCGGACAATGTACTGGATGTCACTGTGGGCCGCCAGCGGAATGGAGGATCGGTGCGCTTTGGTGATGATGCTGGCAGTAGTTTTGTACAGCCAGCGCCCACAGGTGCGAAGTGTTTTACCAAGGATTACGCGTCATACAAATATTTTACGAATCGCCCTGCTTATTTAATATTTGCTGTTTAGCATTGAGGCACCAATTTCTAGAAGTACTTACTTAAATGATTTAATAATTTATTTGTGCTGCTTCTTTGTAATCAATAGATTGCAGTTGCCATTAAAAGCGAAATTATCATCAGTTTCAGTGCAGTTTTCTTCTGTTTTTATTCTCGTTTTATCGGTTAAGCATACGAATACTGCATTGATTACAGTTCACAGAAAGTTTTAATATTTGCATATACTCTGGCCGATGAACTGTAACATTGGTGCTTATTCTATATTTTGTTTTGTTTTTGTAACTTTTTTTATTTTGTTTTCTGTTGTGTCACGACTGAGGCCGTTATTGTGCTGCGGCGTTAGGGATTTACAGTTTAAACAATCCAATAAAATTAATGGGAGAAAAAATGTTGAAGTTGCTTAATATCATCTACAAGTGTAATACCTATAATTTGCAATAATAATACAGCAGTTCTGCTTTAAAAATGGTCGTTTATTTCGTGCACGTTGTTTGCACCGTGTGCGCCATCCAGTTTTCCTAAGTTGGCTGTCGAACCGTTCTTACCTACGACTGCGATGCCGACACGTTGCTTCGATCATTTATTTGCCTAGATGCATTGAAATGCTGATTTTAAACGTGCCGAACTATATCGTAGCCGGAAATCAAAGTTGACATAACACTGATAGCAGTTCTCATGCGTGCTTCTTCTGCTTGACAGATCTTCGTCATAAAATCAATGCCCAACATAAACCGGACGATCTGCGTAGCCATCTGAACCACATGCCCCATGAGAATGCAAAAGTTTCGCTGGAGGATACCGCGACGGCGGTGCGCCGGGTGAATGCCGACATCGCCAACGCACCACTGCTAGATGAGCCAACAAACAGCCACGGCTTTCGTCCCATTAAAAATAACGTGGCGTTCCCGGATGAGGAGCGTCACATTCGGATACAGGACAATCCAGATTCCCCGGCTAGTATCAACATGGGGGAAGGCGGCGAAGCAGACGATTAAGTTGACCATGATCAACCGGCTGGGACCTGTACCCAACGCTTCCACGTCCAACGCACCGAGCAGTCCTCCCGCTCCGTGAGGATGGAAGCGACACGCTGCAAAATCGCCCGAAGCCGTTGGTTTTGCGCCAGTTTTACGGCCGCCCGCCGAATTTATTTGTTTATAATTTGTTTGTATTTTTTTTATTTTTTTATATTATTATGACGTCAATAACTGCAGTCAGGAAGTCCAGTGGATAACTGGAATACAAAATCGCTTTGCGGGACGCCCTTTACTACTGTGGCTCAATCTGTACCAAGTTCGGAATTAACCGTCTCTGTCTCGTTGCGGACCAAATTCCGCAACGAGCGCAACAGCGCTAACATGTATGCTACACTGGGCTGCTGCGACGCCGCAACACGTTTCAACGGGCCGCAACCGGTGCCAGCATGTGTGCTGGACTGGGCTGCTGCAACGCCGCAATAGCCGCAACACGGCTTATAAGCCGCAACACGCAGCAACGGGCCGCAACCAGTGCCAGCATGTGTGCTGGACTGGGCTGCTGCAACGCCGCAACAGCCGCAACACGGCTTATAAGCCGCAACACGCAGCAACGGGCCGCAACCAGTGCCAGCATGTGTGCTGGACAGGGCTGCTGCAACGCCGCAACAGCCGCAACACGGCTTATAAGCCGCAACACGCAGCAACGGGCCGCAACCAGTGCCAGCATGTGTGCTGGACTGGGCTGCTGCAACGCCGCAACAGCCGCAAGATGTTGCTACGGGCCTGAGAACGGCCTAAAAGGCGCGACTCAGCAACGGCGCGCTATACTGTTTTGCTTCGTTGGACCGTTACTGAAAATTTTCATGTTTTTCAACTGATACTTATAGTTATAGCCTCTATCAGTTTTTTATAAATACACCCATAGCTGTATTTTCTTCTTTTTGTCATGCGTAGTTTTTGTTATGACATTTAGGCAGGTGAAGTATGTTCGCAGATATTGAGCAACGTGAAATTTGGACATTCTGAAACGAAAGCGTAACGCAGATTTTGGCATAACAAACTGGTTGGTCCACAAAAAGCATTTTGCATATGTTATGAGTCAGAATCTAAGTTTGCGGTAGAACTTAAATTGTAGTGAATAATGTACGTTTTATTAAAGGAAATGGCCAGGTACATGACGCTGAATTCGGGTAGACCCAAAACAATTTTCAATCTCCCGAACTCCCAAAGGCTTTTATGAATCGGTTTATTGCATTCCCTAGTAAACTGATTTGTATACAATGATGCGAAAAACGTTTAAGCGTACACCATTCGTTTGGTGAATAAAGTATAAAATATTTTATTAATTTTTACCTATTTTTCAATATGCACGATGCACGTCAACGAGCACCACTCAGTTTATACTTTCTTTTCGATTATACAATCAGATAAAGAATTTGTTCTATTTGTCAAATTGACATAAGAAGTGACTGTGCACAAAAATATAATCGAAGGTTTTTTAAAAACAAAAAAGGCAACAAAGTCAAATTATGGAGTGGTCTTTTTTGCGCAGATTCGCACATTGGCCTAAAGATCGTTTTGGCCCGAAATGAGGCTTGCGTTAAGTTCTTCGTATTTTTAAACATATATTCGAAATTTTAAAGTCTGCTTTAGAATGGAGAAAAGTGACAGAATTCCGGTTCCGTGTCAAAACGATCTTCATGCTTACTGCACCATTGTGCAAAATGTGAAGGAGATCGGTCGTTAATGAAACCTTTTTTACACCTTCTTGCGTTTAAACATTTTGTAATTTTTTTGCACATATAACTCCCGGCCAGAAAGGCCGGTTTTGCGCGCCCCAACTGGTTTTTACGCCAATGCATACTACCTATTTGGCTACACGTTGTCATAAAACAAGGCAACCAGGGTTAGGGAATGCGGGAAAATAAATGTTTTCGTGCATGTACCCGAATTTCGCACCATTTACCAAGTCACTTCTCTTTAGTAAAACCCTAGGTTTTCTGTTTGCACGAGGAGACTGTGAAGATTTCATGCTCAGGCTAGTTGGTACAAAGCGGACATAAATTAAATTTCCAGCCTGCGAAGGCCAGCACCAAATGGCAGCCAGCAATGGCATCATGGTGGTTAAATGCGGTGACGCAGCGTAACTTTGAAATAAACGTCCGTAACGGAAAGGATTTAGAAATTGCAGTACCGTTGGCAATATTTTTAATGCGTCGGGCCACCAGAAACCGCAGCGCAGCGATATGCTTCGTCCATGACGTCGCAGCGATCGGCAGAGTCGCAGAAATTTAAATTCGGACCGAATTCAAAAGAGTCGGACCCGCAAAAACACGGCAGCAAGCAATAATTTTGTAGCGGTTAAATGCACGGACGCAACAGCGCTATTTCGTTACGATTTTCTGTAGCGAAAAGAAGCCTTAAGCAGTAGTACCGATGTGTATCCACGCTTCATCGCGGCATCTAACGACGACGTAATAGACCTGGGATGCGATCACATCATAGCGATCAGTTGCTTGACGTCATTGTTATACTTCCGTAACGCACTTCCGTAAAACGGCCGTAACGAGCTTTCGTCACGGACTTAAATCAACCAGTACCTTTGGCTTGAACAAAGAGGACCTTCGCTTCGCTCCCGTCGACTATTACTTCGAGTATTTTTAAATCCTTATCTCTTCACGATGCGGTAACACTATCTTTGATGAACTACATAGTACTATTGATAAGCCGGTCTCACGGTACGATAAATGTTAATTTTCGAATACCCTTTTCTAGGTACTTCACGCACACCATGGCAAATTTACCCTTGTGTGCCTTGTAGGAGGAATCTGAATCGGTATTTGTGGGTGATACCGCAGACTCTCGACCCACACTGATTGTGGTTTTATGGAATCATCGTACTAAGTTAGGGCGGCACACTGACGATATGGTAACCAGTAACCACTAACCGCCATTTTGCAGACGGAAAACTTGCCAACGACGCTTTGCTGACCGGAAAAATTTTACCGACAATTCGTTGAGCGCTGACGTTGTGCTGACAACATCCTAATGACCGGCAAAACAGTTTCCCAATGCCCAATAAAAACCCTTTAATCTTAAAAGACTTAATAAAACATAGGAAAACATAGATAGCATAAGGAACACAAGAAAAACCTAACAAAATCAGTAAAATTAACGAATGCAGGACTAGGACTAAAAACGAAATATCCTAATCAATGTCATAACTCTATAAAAACATGAGCACCTACGAAAGCACTAAGAATTATAAGAAATCCAGTTAATGCACCCAGGTAGCTCAGAAACCCTGATACCTAGCCGATAAGCAGGTGGGCGGCCAACAAAAGAGTGTCTGGAAAAAGTCGAGCAGCGAAATTGCAGAAAAGCGAATTGTCGGTTAGCAGTCTGTTGGTTAGCAAGTCGCGGCATCTAACAACATGTCGTACATCATATTGTCGGAAAGCAAAACGAATATTAGTAAGTAAAGTAACTTGTAATCCGAGCTACACGAAACACTAAAGCTAGCCAGTGTCATCGTCAGTTCGTTATCGGACATCTACTTGGTGACATGACGGCTGCATGAACTATTTTTATCGGTGCTGAAGATATCACAAATATACATTTCATTATTTCTCCAGCTGCGATTGTAATTAAAGCCTATGTACAGAAGTTCATCTGCTTCTGGGCTAGGTCCTGCTTGAGCCATTGCAGCCGTAAACTGTAAAGCAAGAAAAATTTAAGAACGTTTTGGCAAACATACACTGATTTTAATCTGCGTTCAAAAATTTGTGAACAAGGCGATTAGCAGGTCTTGTTGCAAATTACAGAAATCACTTATTACAAACGCCACAAAAAAAAATTAGCAACAACGCAATGAGATTAAGCCAACCAATCAAGAGCTAACTGCAATCTTTCCAGTACTCCAATTTCAGGAGGACTGTTTCTATCCAGTGCTGGCTACTGTATGTGCCTGCGAATCGAAATGTGGCTGCTTCTCCTTAAAAGTGCGCATGGTTCCTCCAACAGGCCGGTTATTGTCCGCTAAACAGTTCGAGAGATAATCGTTTCGACGCACTGCCATCCGGTGAATAAAAAAAACTGCCTGCTTTTATTCATTGCATGTAATTGCTTCTTGTACTTGGCCAGCCAAGAAAACGTCTGCTCGGCAGCCATGGTATTTCGTTCAGTGGTAGTAGGATGTCTCGCAGAGTACATATTGGGGTGGTATTTTTCTTTGCACTTAGGATCCTTGTGGTTTTGAATGTGCAACCCATCAACGATTTTGGATACCCGACTCCACAGTTGATCGAAAGGCTCGGGAAAGGGCAAAGGTTCGCCAGCAGCCTTCAGTCGGTTAAGTTGACAGATGTTGTCATAACATACGAAGATGTTTCCCCACTTTTCCGGCGCAACTTCTCTCGTACAGTGCGCTGGCGATGAAAAGTTACACTTGTCCAAGACTTTCGGCTCTGAAAAGAAACCACATGTCATTCGCAGCACTGCTTTCGTATCATCCAGCACCTATCTGTCCACTGTAATACATTAATAAATATCACAACGCCAGCACAAACAAAGCAAAGCAAGACATAACTTATAATACAAATATTCTTCCGTTGTGTCATGTTTTTCTGCATTATGTCCCAGTATTTTTTAATGGAACTGCTTTCGCTAATTAAGAGCTCTTTATGTGCAAGAGTAAGTACTTTAGTAATTCCAGTGCTGTGTTGTAGGAATGCGCAACCATGCAAATAATTGTGGTCATTTGCGCACGGAATGTACTAATGCCGAGGGAATCCAGAAATGCCGCTACAGTGCTATTTTATCTATAAACTTCTGTGAAATTTAAGTTATTTTTTTCAAAATGAATTTTTTAAAATTCTTGAAAGTCATTTTAAAATTTCAAATTTTAACATTTTAAAACACGGCTTATAAGCCGTGTTGCGGCTGTTGCGGCGTTGCAGCAGCCCAGTCCAGCACACATGCTGGCACTGGTTGCGGCCCGTTGCGTCAAATAATCTTGTTGGTGCCGCAATTTGTTGCGCAACAACAGGATCTTGGTACGGATTGAGCCAGTCCTACCAGATTTAGCCATATGTATTGCCGTAACGTCACACTCATGGCGGGCGACGGCAGCAGTACAGGTGATTATCTAGGTGCGCTACTGACATCCCCTATTATACGTAGACATTAAACCTAAAATAAATAATTAAACAGGAATAAATGTGAATATAAAATAGGTAATTATAAATATACCTAACAAATACTATTGTAAACTTTATCCAAATGTTAAACTATAATTAGGCTACGGTAAATATAATTATACTATCGCAAATAGTATCCAAATATTTAACAGCTAAATTAAGTAGAAAATCGCTCAACGCAGCGAAACAAGTAAAGTTGTCATCCCACCCAGATTTTGGAAATGAGGTGTGCTATTTAAGGTAAACGTGATGTGGGACGAATGGGAAATAAAGTTAAACTTTTTTGAAGGTTACGGTGCTTTATAGTATTCTGCGTGCGCATAAGAAATGCATCGTAATTTATGCAGTTACATAATGCAAGTGCTCTGTGTTGATCAGTTTCTAATTTACCCCTACCGCTGGTAGGTGCTCTGTGCGACGCAGACCGGGGATCCGCGACCGTCCTTGCATTACCGCGGGAAGCAGTGGTGCACCGAGGGACTGCATGGTTTGCGCTGCGAGGAGCTGTCCCGCATTGCACAGCGCTTCCTTATCATTCTGCTGCACCTCCTGCTTCGTTCACGCTTGGCATATCCAAAAAAATCATGACTGGAACTTGGAAACGAATGATGATCCCGGCACCACGTGCCTAATTACAAAATATTAGTTTGTTATTAGCTAGCAAAGATAAAGCGGATGTCCTTTCTTCGGTGGAATTGATCTTATTAATAAAAGGTGGAGGCTCCGCATACAACTTTTGTACCACCTTTTGCTCCTAGTACCACCTTTCATACCTCCTTTGGCTCCTAGAACCACCTTTTGCACACCACGTTTGACTTTGCATATCACCATAATTTTTTTAAAAGTTTTAGTAAAATAATAACTTAAATTATATGTTGCTATGATGTTTTACTAAAGAAGTTCAAGGTTATAAACGCAATAATGTTACAAGATCAAGTTACCGGTAAAAGGATCTCGCTGCAAATAAAAATGGATCGGCACTTGTAAATGTTAGTATTAAATAACGCAAGGGAGTCGACACTGAGGGTGTCGGCATTGTACCCGCTATTCACCTGCATACCTGTGTCTGTAGTAGTTATTGGACCGTTCGCATTGATGTCCAAAAGAGTTTTTCGCCTTAAAATTTGCACAGTACAGCTGACTGCCATATGAAGCCGAAACGGCAAACAGCCGCCCGGTCAATGCGGATGCGCATTGTCTCCGAGACAGTGACACAGGGAACAGGGTTTGTGTTAAGGTATATTCATACCTCGTGTGTTTGGCGAAATACGGAAATACACACGGAATCCAAAAATCTGTCTTTGGATTATAAATTCATCCGAAATATATGTCTAACATACATGTTTCTTCTAAGTTAAAGTACAGATATGCATGCGCAGAAATTTTGAAGAAAAGTTTCTGGAAACATTTCAGATGTATGTGGATGTATTTGCAGAGTATGCTCTGGACATTATTTGAACAGAGCTCTGTCGTGGCAAACCGAATATCGTACAAAGTACACAACGACTTGTACGATACTTTGTAATAATAATTCGAACGCTGATTATTATTTTATTCGCATACTTCGAAGTCTATTGAATTCTTCACAGTACTTAAGTTAAATGACAAGAAGCCAACAAAGTACAAAAACTGAAAGCGGAGACGCCGTGATGTCAACACTGCAGCTGGAACGCGTCATAAAACCAGACAGAGAGTAAAAGAAGAAAGACTTCTGTCTACACGGCATCCCCCCTCTGGATTGGACCAAATATTTGTCGCTTGAAGATTACGGCAAAGATATCAAATGTGCAATTGAATCAAACGGGATCTCTGTCAGATTTGTGTCTATTTATTCTGCTAAAAATGGTCGTAAGAACGGAATGGATTCCGACGGACAGAGGAATCCGGGTATTACGACACACGACACGCCCCCTTTAATAGTGGTCTCTCTGTTAGAGTTGAATGCATTTGTGAACTGGTATAAATTGGAGAATGTACAGTGCTAACTTGTGTCACTTGCCAGAGTAAAATTTTTGAAATTAAAATTTTAAGAAATTCTCGATCTGTGTTTTTTACGTTACCGTTTTCGCATTTATTTATCATCATGTCTGTTACACTCGATGAAGCTCGCACGTTCAATCTGAAGAAGTTGGGCCGCCTGAATCTCACAGAGGTCAAACGGCTCATCGTCGAAGTTGAAGGCGAGCAAGCGTTCGATGAAACGAAACCTGCTCTTGTCCAGCGGCTTTATGACCTGTTCCATCCGGAAGAATCTCTGGATTTGGAAGCCGATGCTGCAGCAGGTAAAGGTGACTCCCCATCTGACCTCGCTACAGCCATCGGTATTTGCGCGGCGTCTGTTTCCCAGCTGTACGACAACGGATATAACTCCATTGACGATGTCATCTTGTTGGCAAAGGTTAAGAAATTCCCCGACAACTTGGAATTCATCACGAACACCCGCGATCGCAACAAGCTTGAAGTGTTTGTTATGCCCCACGTTCCCATGTCTCCTCCCGTGACATCCGCAAGCGACAATGTGGCCCCCCGTCGGAGCCGTTCAACTACACGTACAAGCAATCACCACCAAGCAGCCTCAGACGACGAGAGTTCCGGCAGTCCAGTTAGCGCTCACCGTAAATCCAACAGCGGCTCCCGTACCTCCTCTCAGGCCCGAAATCTTCGAAGACCGCATACGCTTCCATTCGTGAAAGCAGCCCACAAGGCCGCAAAAGATGTTAAGCCGCATGAAATTTCATGCGACGAACTTTTTGCCGGCAACATCATGGCTGCATTGGATTTGGCAAGGAAGACCAACGCCTTACCAACACTGATGAGTTCCTGGAATACCAGGTCTTTTTGGCTCGCAAACGATGCATGTATGATGACGAAGCCATTGTGCAATTTGACTGCGAGTTTCGCGAAGCCGCCCAGATTGAGGAGTTTGACCTTTCTGACATTACGCATCGCGACCCCACGGCTGACGCATATTTTTCGGCGGATTCCCGTCGAACGTCGGATTTTCAAGTTTGTAACCCAAAGGTCACTTTTGGACAGGCGAAGCGCACAGCTACCGTGGAACCCCGTTTTCCGAATTACTGCTGTTTCAACTACAACGAAGGCAGACCCTGCCGGGATATCCCTTGCCGTTTTCCACACATTTGCGGTTTCTGCCGGAAGGACCATCGCGCCACGGCCTGCACCGAGCAGTCGGCAAAATGACCTCCATTCGGTATGACCTGTCGAATTCCGGGTTGGTTACCTTTGCCTGACATTTTACCGAGACGATTGTTTTCTTTAACTTTTGACCCGGATTTGCCTGCTTCGTGCTGTTACCTTTTCATGCATTATTATTCCCCCATATCCTGTGTCCGCTTCGCATTGTCCCTGCCTGCTTTTATACTACATTGCACATTTTTCAGCCTCGTTGCGTATATTCGTTACCTTCTTAAATACTTGCTAGCGTATGCTTTTGCGCTTATAGCCTTCCGTACATTGTATGGAATTTAAAATCTGCATGGATTTAGGTCAAACTGTGGAATTCCCAGTCCGACTACAAACCTCCATTTGCCTTGCCATATTCCGTGGGATGCGACAGGACTTCCTTGCACCCTGCTTTATGCATGCGGTCTGGCGACTGCATGCATCCTTAAATGCCGTATTGCGCTGGCGTGATTTCCGCCAGAGCAGTGCTTTACTTACTTTTCGTGGATCTTCTAATTTGGTATTACTTTCGCGAATGCCCAACAATGCGCGGAATCCCGCGCCTTTGGTATCGTGATAAGCTGTTTTCCTTGAATTCAAGGAATCGGCCTGCTTTATCGTTGCACATTCATCACACTTTTCGTTGCCATCATTACGCGGTATTGGATCGCCTCCAGTCATCTTTGTGTTTTTGCCTTGGGTTTGGGTATTTGGGGCCGTTTCCGGCCATGTTCGGCATATCTGCCCAAAGGAAGTAAATTCCGAGCCCACCTTTCTCGCGTGACGTGTAGGAGTAATGGAGTGGATTCCGACGGACAGAGGAATCCGGGTATTACGACACACGACACGCCCCCTTTAATAGTGGTCTCTCTGTTAGAGTTGAATGCATTTGTGAACTGGTATAAATTGGAGAATGTACAGTGCTAACTTGTGTCACTTGCCAGAGTAAAATTTTTCTTGTTTTTTTTTGTGCTTTTGCTCTGTTTGATGGCTTGGGGCCGTTTCCGGCCATGTTCGGCATATCTGCCCAAAGGAAGTAAATTCCGAGCCCACCTTTCTCGCGTGACGTGTAGGAGTAATAGCTTGTTTGCGCGTGTTGGTTCGTTTGCTCATGAGTCAGACAAAATGTTCTCTCCTGAAAACTGGCCTAACATTGGGGTGCGTGAGTGGCTGTTTGCCCCCAAGGAGGGCCAGCAGTGTCAGTCTTGGTTTCCTGTTTAAATTTTGAATCAGTTTAAAGTAGTTTCTACTTGCGCAAGCTCATTGTTATCTGAATTGGCTATAAATTTCTGAGCAGCTGAGCTTTAAATTTCGTAACACCGGTATTTGATCACTTTTCACGATATCAAATAGATTGCGCGCGCTCTTTTGATATGCAGATACTCGTACATTAATTCACAGGTACCCAGTGCAGAAACGTTCAGCGTAAGAACACTGCAATTCAATAAGGGTGAAGTTTATCTGATTACATATGATAACAATATGTGCTTTGATGATAACTACATAGCAATAAGAATGTGCTTTCGACTTCTGTAGGCACTTGAAAATTTGATGCATTGCGGCAGGGTTCCTGGCATACAAGAATTTTGAGAGGTTTAAAGCGTTAAATGTGTGCGCTAAGCGCGGTTCATTTAGAGACTTAGAAATTTTCCGATTGCCGGCAGTGGCAACTCGTTTAATCTGTTATCGCAAATGAATAGCGTCAGTTTCAGCGACTCCCGCGAAGTCGAGGAAATCGGTCGTAAGTCGCAGTATCACTACACCGGTGCTGACATGATTGGGAGAGGAGCTTTCGGAATTGTTAACTTAGCTAGAATTACGGAAGCGGGTGATTATTCGGGACTAGCGCTTTTAGCTGTTAAAGTGATAAATATAGGGATTAATTTCAAAGCTGCTGCCGGCCGGGAAAATTGGAGAAATCCGCAAACAGATTAAGACAATTTTTGTCTAATAATAGATTGATTTTCTATTGATAGACACCTTGAGATATGCGGCGATGTTTTCGTGATACAACAAATAACGAAAAACTCGTGGCAGATCGCAGGGTGGTTATCACCAAAGCTGGCGCGTGCCGCGTGGGCGACCGTTGAAGTAGCGATAGACTACCACCAGAAAGGTGACATTAATCAAAGAAACTGTGTCAAATACTAGAAAATTATTTTACCATTACGGCTGCTGATCTTGAATGCGACCTTGCTTCTATTCTGAAGGATGTAGAGAAAGCCGGAAGGCTATTAAGCAGCGCAAATTTAATCAAATTGTTAAAAAATATTGCCCAACTGGAATTTTTGCACTGGAAAGAAAATAATAGTACATGGCGATTTATAACCCGGAAATATTCTTCTAAATAATCCCCGAACTGGCATCGAGAAGCTTTTAATTGGAGAGGCAGCCTGTAGATGATCTGGTGCAAATGCGGACATTATCCGAAAGTGTTTCAACACAGTCAGTCGGAACCGATTATTCAGAATCCGTTTGTGTAATCTTCTGTTTAAGGTGGTTTACTTAAACAACCGTGGAGCCGCCAAATTTTGGAGTTCTTTATAGTCACTGCATGGAATTGTGATAACGATTACTTATACACATTTTTCCTGCTGCCTGCTTTTTGAAAGCGTTGCAAGTCATTCGCTGTTTTCCATAATTATCGTTGATGATGCCGCTGATCGCTCATAAAGCATTAAAGCGGCCACGTGCTAGAAATGCAATGACGCTGTCCTTTTGTGCTAAAGCAATAACACCGGTGTTACCGCATATGTATAAGAAACTAATACGATAAGTGCACACCGGTGTTACCGCATATGTATAAGAAACTAATACGATAAGTGCATGCATAAGTGCCGGCCATTTTGCCACATTTCCCTTATCGTTTCATTAGATATGTAAGTTCCATCCAAATATGCATGCCATCGGTTTTATCAAGGACACCGCTTATCTTTGCGCAATAACTATTACTAAGAAGTAAGAAGCACGTATCGTTCGTTACAGATCGGACAGTTACGGTACAGACCGTACAGTTAATTATTCAGTGCCAGACGTGTGTTAAATAGGCAGCAAGCCTGCAAAGCGCATGTTGATGAAATAAAACGTTCCATTGGCGCGATATGTCGGCTTTTTGGCGTATAAACTAGAGCATGACTTTTATCATACATTTTTGGCGGCCACTGCTGTTGTGTGCTGAACTTAGCACATGCATTAAACGGACTTTTATGAAACTGTGACAAATTTTAGGCGCATGGAATTCGGTGGATGTGCTGCTAGATGACAACGGTCCGCTGCAACACGGCAGCGTTATGAACATCGTCGAGGATTGTCTGATTATCGACTTCCACTCTGTCGGCAAGCGGTCGGTGCTGGTGGAGCTTGGGAATGTCTTTGGTACATGCCTGGATGAATGGCTGTTCTGACGGCACCCAGTGGCCGTCGTACTTTAGAAAGGCTTTCGTTAATTCAGTTTACTGAACAAACACGTAGCCGCCTCACTGACAATGAACGCTGACGACAGCTGTCGAATTTCAATCGTGTTTTTTTCAAAATACTGCGCGCTTGTGTACTTTGTTCTGTGAACAAACATCGCGCCCGGTTTATCACACAATGTTTTGCACACGCTCAGTATTTTAAATTTATGTTTTCACTAAAGTGCGAATCAACACAGCACAAAACGTTCCGAAACAATAAGCGCTTTAGGAAGCCAATAAAAGCACAAACTGCATGGCGACAAAGGAGAGCCAGTTGGTAATGGGTCGGTGTGCTGGCGCCAGCAACGCCTCGGCCTTCCACTTGGGGAACTGTAACTCCGTATTGCATAGGTCCATGTTGCAGTAGCAGGTCACCTCCCTGGATATCGCGCTGCGTGTGGAACTCACGACGCAGCCCATGTTGGTCGGGGTGGAGACCGGCGCGCAGCCCTAGTGCTGCCAAAGGTCTGTCAAATTTTCATGTTACGTTTGAAACTTCATATTGATTGCACACGGATTGTGTTGTATACTTATACATATGCTGTTTACGAGGGTTTCCTAAGTTCCCAATGTAATGCAAACAGCGCGCTATTATTCCAGTGCAGTGAAACACCCAGCTTGATCGTAAGATCGCAACGCACACTCATAAAGTGGCGTTGCATGGTTCCAAAATCCATAATTTCCGTCTGGTTCGCCCGAATGAAATATTTTATCAGTTTATGTCATCCCCCGTGTTATATATGTTATAGCAGCCTCCTCCTCTGCACAAGTTCCCCCAGAACTTGTGTCCTAAAAGGCTAAGTTATCTGGTTCACATTTTTTGAAGGCGTGCCATTACGTTTGCTGATTTTTTCGCGATTTTTGCTCATTATCCGCGCAATTTGCGGCTTTCACATGCAAAAAGCTTAAAAACCCGGTATTTTCTCGTGTTTTTTCTGACTATGTTGCAGATTCGCTTTGTTTTTGGAGGAACAATCAACGACAAAATCTACACTATCACTGTCCGCAATACAGCCCCCCTCCCGTTCAGTGTCACCTAGCGAAGGCAAAAAATTTGGTAACCTCGGGGCACTAATTAGTAATATACGGTATCTATGCAGCATGCACTAGCAGGTTGCCATGTACTATCTGTATGCCAGCAAAACTTTGGAATGCTTTACATGCAAACTCTATGGAACATATCTGCATAGTGCGTACAGTGATACAGATACAATTACTGACTTTTTATTTATGTTTACTCAGCGACATAACAGTCGATACAATATTAACTACGACAACGAACTACAGAAGTAAGTGGCAAGTGCCACCGCTTGCAGTTTGGACCGAGTCTGGCTCAGTGGCCAGGTCATATTTTTCGACAGGGAGTTTCTTTGCACTGGGATTTCAGCACCCTTTTTCTCAGCGTTGAGATACCTTTGTACCTACAGTAGTGGACAGCACGCACGTTACCTTCATTGCCATCCAATATAATCTTGCTGGATTGCGGCATGCACGCTTCGCCCAGTGAGCATTCTTTCACTCCGTACCAGGCGGATCCGAATCCGACAACAAATTCTTCAAGTAATAGTGGCATTTCAGAGCGGTAGCTTCAGTGCCTGCAGTGAAAAGGTTTCCTGCGTGTCCCGATATCTTGGTAACGTTTACCTAAATAATTTCATTCGCACAAAGATTATTATGTTCTTCATTTAGAAGGAACTTTTAGCTCCGTAATACGAGTATCAGTCTAACTTTCTGCAGAGACTTAAATCAAAATTATCAAGCCGCCACGAGTAGTCAATGAAAAAAGAATAACAATTTATGGATCACACCGTATTACAATACTTACCGGAAAAGGCAAAACAGCGAGTATAAAAACGGTAAGCCGCGGCATTTTTTTCGTAGGGCACATTAGTACTCTCTTAGCGCATTTGCAACGCTAAGCCGTAAAGAATTTTGCGAAACACACAATAAATGCAGGAAATACGCGCATTTTATCATTAGTTCTGGATTATAAATCCACGGCAGTGCCTAAGACAGGCAGGCTGTTTTTATAGTCCTGTAATTTTTTGCGCATGGCCACAAAAAAATGCTTAAACCTGCTGCCTGGCTGTTAAGTACGTCTGTTAAGTACGTCTATAGTCGACAGATCTGCTGGTTATTTTCAGGAGAGATTATTATGTGGTTACTGCTCTCGATCGATACGCTGAAAGTTGAATGCCGGCATGCTTTAGCATCTACGCTGTGCAACAGTGTTTTGTTTTGCCCTATCAGTAGCACATTGAGCAGACCAGTCAGTCATCCCTGTTTTCGTATGGCGCATTAGAAAGTGCAGCTTAAGTCAATGCTGGGAATCTGGTGCAATGGAGGGAAGCTGCATTTTTTCAGATAACGTTTTGTTATAATTATTATCATTCCCCACTGAAGCCGCCTTCACTGTGAATGAGGATGGTTTTACGATACACTGATGCATGACGAGCATATTTTATGGACTGCTTGTATAGCTTAATTGGACATATCTCAGCCATCGGCTTAATGTTGCCGGATGTTGGACTCACGGGTGGCGTCAGGAGAGTTTACACAAATTATTTTGGTTTTAAAAGGAGATAAAAGCAGCATTGCATACAAGTATTGCAGAAAATGATATAAAATCAATGTTGCAGTATGAGATAAAATCAGTATAAAAACCAGTATTGATTCCCAGCATTGACTTAAGCTGCACTATATAGGGCGCCATAGGAAAACAGGGATAACTGACTGGTCTGCTCAATATGCTACTGATAGGGCAAAACAAAATGCTATTGTACAGTGCAGATGCTAACTGCATGCTGGCATTCAACAATAAAGTATTGCAGGAAAGTGTGGGAGTGCGCGAAAACCAAACCAAAATGTTTTATTTTATGTATACTAAACTGATACCTTGAACATACTGTATGTACAAGCCTTATCCCTTATTGTTCTAATCGAAGCTGGAATGTTGGGCACGTACAGAAGCTTCAGATATCCACAAGGACACACGTGGCAGTCATTTATTCATCAAACCACAATTAGTATTATGTTGGAGTATTTTATGATTGACGTAATGAATCATGAATGCTGTGCTTTAGTGGCAGTGTTACATGAACGACCGTTGTTTTCGATAATGGTAGTCGAGGTCATTGTCTATAGCTCCACACTTCGCATGATGTCAGTCTGCTTGCTATAAGGCAACATACGGTGTAATAACGTTGGTAAACAGCAGATGATGTTACGAAAGTGCATTTTGAAATATGTGCAATTTCTCGGTCGTGGCATTTGCTCAGCAGATGCAGGAAACTGGCTACTAGCGTGCCTTTGCGTTAAGCAAACACAACAGTTCCGTCGGGCAATTTTTATGTCAACAACAACATTGCGCTCAGCATGTAGGTTTCCTTAAAATGGTGCGCACGTACGCTGCTTTTTCACTCAAGCGTTGCATTGCGGATATTAAATTGCGGTTAGATACCGCAATGAGTAATCCGACATTCGCTGTAATTCTATTTTATCTTTGATAACGCTTATGACTGATCGCCGCATGCAAAGCTGCACCTGCGTGCTAAGCAATTCTCAATCAGTGGAATGACTGTTCAATCATTGAACATTGAACTTCAATGCGCTACTAAACCGCGCAAATCGGAGTAATATACAGTATAAACAAATACCGGTACCTGCAACCAACAGTGCAAACACTTACAAACACTGAGTTTAGCTCTACGTATTAGCAAACTGTTTTCTGGGTTCTTAAGAAAGTTGCTGAATTTGTGGGGTGAAAAGTGTTCTGTTTCTGGAATGAATGAAGCACGTACAAGCCCGTCCGGATGATGAGCACGATAGAGAACAGCGAAAAATGTAAATTCATGGATTACGCCAAACAAGATACTACGCAACACCACGCTTAACTGTTCAACCACGTAACATGCCTTTGGCTGGCTGGTGGCCTGGTGCACGCCATATATTTCAATGCAAATAATCGTAGTTGCCTGCGGAAGGTGACCAGAAAACGGTGGGTGCAGTAAGGGACAATCTAACTGCGGAGCGCATTTACGCATTGTGGCAAACGTAGTGTAGTGGCCATCGTGCTAAGCGCTAACATCGCGCTTAATATGGGTTAGCTGTACCTTTACGTGCTCATTACCCGGACGGGCTTGTAGTCAGATAAGTTGTCCTAAGACTTAAACTCAAATTGAATCCGTTGGCGGTGATCAATCTAGAGCGGAAATGCACTTGTACGAAACAACTGAGCGAAAACTGCGGGCATGGAATTCGGTAGATGCGTTGCTGGATAAACACGGTCCACTGCAACACGGAAGCGTTATCAACGTAAGGGACAGCGGCTTGATCATTGACTTTTACTGTGCCGGTCAGCGGTCGATGCTGGTGAAATTCGGGAAGGTCTTTGCCTCGTGGATCGACCAAAAGTGTTTGTGGTTGGACTCGCGCTTCCCCATATCATGGACAAATTCCTACTGCCCTCCGTCCGCGGAATCCGACAAACCGGATGTGCAGGTGCTGTTGCGTGTCCACCCTGACGGTCCGTGGCTGTGGCATCCCGGGAAACTGCTCATGTGCAATTTCGTCGAGGTCTATGAATACGTCTTTGTGGCAGTGCAGTTGGGCGGAACTACGGTTCACGAATTGGTTCGTCTGTCGCAGGTACGCTTTCCCCCGTCCGAAGACGAGATGCGACGACGGATCATTCAAGCCGGTGAGTTCGTTATGCGCACCGTGGATCTGCCGGACGGATACTGGCAGTTTATTTACACGCCGGAGTTAACGGCGGCGTTTTGTCAGCTAATCGATGACATGTACCATGCACGGTGCCTTTTAGTATTCAGCAATTTGATTCACTATTTGCAACGCACGAACGGGTTCGCGATTCCAGACAAGCGTCATCTCGTACGTGCACCTAAATGCAGTGTGCCTCTTCTGCTTATTTTCATTTTCACAATAGGGAAATGACTCCAGTAATAATAAATAATTGTAATAACAATACAAAACAATAAATAAAAAGATAAATAATGACAAGTAAATAAAAAAAGTTATGATAATAATTTCTACAATAAATAATATCCCTCCAGTAATAATAAATAAGGGTCCTAAAGATAATAATAGGTAGTGCACTTCCTGCCCGGTCCATATGTCGGTTCCGTTCCGTCGCGGAAATAGTACTGGTAGTGACAAGGGAACTTGTACTGGTTATGGTCGTAGTATTTCTAATTTTCTACTATGCAGAGTCACGCTTTCCTTTTTCAAAGTTGTTTCTAGGTTAGTTCTTAAGCTTTTCTTGGATTGTTTTGGTTCTTTGAGATTTCTTTGAGTTTAATTTTTTTAAGTATTTTAATTTTTAGTTATCTATGTTTTTCTTTCTTAATTTTCCGCTTTTTTTGTTCTTAGGTTGATGAACTATCTCAGAGTCATAAGCTTCTTAAGTTTCTTGTTTTTAAATTCTCTATCTACTTTGGATCTTGCTTTCTGTTTAGAAATTTATTTCTACGTGTTCTTAATAAAGTTTCATACGCTAAAAAAGAAACAGCGATCGCCAGAAATGCCGTGAAAAGTGAGATCTAAGTAAAATGAAGTTCTGTACAATAGCTGGATTCCTTAATCCAAGCGGAATATTTTGCCAAGCATTACGTGAAATGCGGTCGAGACTATCTGCGCTTCTGGAACCCCGCGCACATAAAAACCAACGAAGAAACGCCGCTTATGCAAGAGGAACGTTGCTTTCCGTTGCCACGCCTGCTGCTAGTTGAGATCTTTCAGTCCCTCGATACCATCGGACGCCAGCGGTGTCGACGTACCTGCCACCGGTGGGAGGTCATTCTTACGTCAAATGAGGCTTGCCGCGATGTCCGGGTGTCGTTTGGCCGCACCGATTTCACGTCTCGGTGGTTGGACCACGATTTAGCGCCCTATGCAGTGTACAGCTGCGTCCTTAAACACGTGACACCGGCAACGTGCGCTATCTGCTTCCTTGACCACGATGATGGTTGGCAACCGAATCAGGATTGGAGAACCGGCGTGCTTGACTGTTTGCAGCAGGTGCTGGGTGGGGTTGGGCGTCGCATCCAACGACTGGTCTTCTTTCGGTTTCATATCCACGTGCACGGCACTAGCAAGCCTCTGATGGAATGCTTTGAAGAGATGACCCAAAATTACGATGCGCTGGCGTCATGTTGTGAAAAAATTATCCATAAAGACGTCGTGTTGACAAGCGAGCACGCGGAATCACGTATCGTGTACGCCGTTATCCCACTGAACGCAAGCGAAATGGTGATGGTGCAAAAGCGGAATGTTTTGGGAAACATGTAGAAGGTCTGCTGGGAAGCGATTGTTCATAAAACAAATAAATATTAAAAAATGTAACTCAAAGCGGCAAAAGCGCCTTCGCGATTGTTAACGTACTTTACCGTAAAATCGTGTACATTTTTAGAAGCGAATGTTGTTAAAATAAAGTTTCGATTGATGCGCCATGCAGTGCTTTTTTTCCATAATGAGTGCCTGCTGTTTCGGAACGCAATGAAGTAGTTGGATGACTCACAAAATTATCGTATTCTCCGCCCGGTGCCGCACAATTTTTATTAGATGGTTATTAATTTTAGACTATCAAAATATTGATCTCCTATTGCGTATTCAGTCAATTTACCAATTAGCACCAGAGTTTGTGAGATTTTTTGTACACTTTATGGATTGTCATGCTTTTCTGGCGGGGCTGGAAATAAGGTCTCAATGCGTTTCCTGCATGTTCAGCCTTGCATTAGATAAGCTGAAGAATTGACACGCGGTGCGTTGATTATTAATTAATTCTGATATGTCTTATCTTTGCACTATAATAGTATTATTCAGCGAAATCAGCGATATCTCTCTTAGCAGCTAGTGCAGCCATTTAATTAAGCACAGAAATTCGAGCGTGACATCATACCTGAATGCAACTGCAGCATCGGTAAGAATTTGCGTGATAGGTAGCAGCTTTTCATGACACAAGTTGGAATTTACCAGAGTAAATGTTTTAATTACCGCTTTTCTTGACGTATTTTTGTACTATCTGTGTCTGCTTCGGGCGCACCTGCTCGCCTTCGCTACTTCTTTTTCCACTCAATCCGGCATTAGGATATGCATATAATATAAAATTTGGCATTCACTTTTATCTGTTACTGTTATCGTATCGCAAGCTTATTTCTTTTACTGCAGCTCGTGTAACTACCGAGTAGCGGAACGATTGTTCAGTACGCTATAAATCGCAATCGCGAAAGAAGAACACACGAATACCGACTTTGCTCTATTTAATGGCAGGTTGAATATTTTTTCTTATGTGCAAAATAGTATAAATAAATTTTTCCTATGTGTAAAGTAGTTTAACTGGCAGCTGAAGCAATGCACTTTTACGAAACTACCGAACGGAAATTAAGAGCATGGAATTCGGTTGATGTAATGCTGGATGACAGCGGTAAGCTGCAGCACGGCAGTGTTATTAACGTAGAGGATACCAATTTGGTGATCGACTTCCACTGTTCCGGCCAGCGATCGGTGCGAGTCAAACTCGGAAAGATCTTCGCGTCGTGGCTCGATAGAAAACGGCTCCACTGGGACTGGCGTTTTCCCAAATCCTGGAAGGATTCTTACTGCCCACCACCAGCGGGAGCTGACAAACTGGATGTACAGGTGCTGCTGCGTGACCGCCCAGACAGTGCTTGGCTGTGGCATCCCGGGAAACTGGTCATGTACGATTTCGTAGAGGACCATGATTACGCCTTCGTAGAAGTGGAGTTAAGCGGTACTAGGGTTCGCAAAGTAGTGAGACAGTCGCAAATACGCTTTCCCCCGTCCGACAGGGAAATGCAGCGGCGGATCATTGGACCCGGCGATTTTGTCATCCGTTCCGTTCAAGCGCCCGACCAGTACTGGAAGTGTTCTACGCCTGCTTTAGAGGCGGCGTTTTGCCAACAAATCTATGACACGTACGATGCGCGATGCCTGGTTTTATCTACTGAAGGGATTGTGTACTTGCAGCGCAGCGCGGATATTGCGAGTCAAGGGAGTTATTGTCTCGCAAGTTTTCTTCTGAGGAACCCGCGTCTAGTGCAGTATTTTTGTTTTGTTGAAAAATAAAATAGGTATTAAAACTGAACTAAATTACGCTTTATATACGGTTAAGCAATATCGGGTTCTCATATCACAGTCACTTTAATCAAACGCTTCTGTGCAATCAGTTTCCTATGTGTTGTGACCCGCATAAATGTGCAGTTCTTGGTTTGAAGTATGGTAACTTCGCTCAAGAATTTCAAGGCACAAACTGCAACCGCGATTACTGAATTATAAACATCCTCCGCCCCCCCCCACCCCTAATTGGAGCCCTTCTCGAGGTGTTCCGAAAAATATACGCCCATGGCTTTTATGTAATTCGATAATTACCGTATCCGTAAAAAGCAAAATCAATCATATCATCAAAAAATAATTAATATCACCATACCATAAAGCAATATCATCAAAAGACGCAAAATGTATCCCAGATAGAAGCTGATAACTCTTAAATGAAACCAGATAGAAGCTGATAACTCTTAAATGAAACCTGTAACTCTAAGTGACCAAATATTTATAGTAAATAGCTGAAGACCGAAGTGACCGATTTTGGAGGAAGAACTGCAATACCCTCAGCTCAATTGCGAAGTTTCCTATCCGTACCTTCAAAACACACCTTGAAATTCCTGATTATGTTTGAATCGAATTTTGTAGGAGGATTTCTTAGTCCCATCTGAAACTCGTGTTCAGCAGTACGTAAAATGTGGACAAGAATACCGATGCAGCTGGAATCCAGTGGCCATACCCACGTCGGAGCAGCCGAATGCAACCGACCGACCCGGAATGCCGCTGGATCGAATACTTGTGGTGGAGATCTTCCAGTCACTAGACACCATCGGACGTCTGAGGTGTCGACGCACGTGCCACGCATGGGAGCCTATTCTGATGTCAGCGGAAGTGTGCAACGAGATGCGCGTGTCGTTTCACCGGAGTGTTTTCACATCACTGTGGTTGTATCAGGACTTGGCGCATTACGCAGTGTACAGCTGCGTGTTTAAACACATCTACTCAACGACGCATACCCTCTGCTTCCTGGATTATGACAAAGATTGGTGGGAGACTCAAGCATCGAGTTTCGGCGTACTTGACTGTGTGCAGCAAGTACTGAGTGTGGAAGGCCAACGGATCCAGCGCATGGTTTTCTGTCGGCGTCGCATCCATTTGCGTAGTTCTAGCTAGCCCCTCATGGAATGCTTTAAAGAGATAGCTCGAGGTGCACTTGCGTCATGTTGTGACACAATTATCTTTAACGTTAACGGCGAACGAGCTGGGACCGTCACGTATTGCGCGCGCAGTAATTCCGCTGAATTTGTGCGGTGTGGTGCAATTGTCGGATGTTTTAGAGGATCCTATGGAACGTGGGTTGGATACGGTTACCACTGGGAAACGTTCCGAACGTAACACTAAGCGGTAGAATTTTATTAGCGATTTTTCCTCCATTTATCGACCGAAGCGAAGCGAAGGTCCTCTATGTTCAAGAAAACAGGAATTTCTGTGCGTCGGTCACGCACGTCGGTCACGCTGTATTTCGTCGGTCACGCTGCGCGTCGGTCACGCTGAATACAATTATATGTATTCATGTTATTTTTAAGCACTTAGTACTTTAGAAGTTCTCAAGTTCAACTATGTACTGCATGTTGTTGTTATGGATATATGTACACACAACCTAATTCATAAAACCGCACTAACATGGCAAGGCTTGAAAAAGAGAAAGGTCACATACCGGCATGATAGAAAATAGATTTTCATCATAATCTGATATTATCTTGGAAATGACTCGAAAGCGAAAAGCCGAAACGTCACTGGGACGATCACCACGAAGGAGGCGGGATGACTCTGCAGGTAGGTTGGATACTTTATCGAAAAAAACTGCGTGGGTGACGAACAGAGAGACCGTTTTATTAGGACCTTCAAAAGTCACTGACCAATCTCCTCAGGCAGCCGGTTACCGCACACCGCCACGACAAAGTATGTAGTCTGGCTAACCATTTTACGCAGTCTTGTGCTACAATCATCATTGGGTACTGCATAGATCGAAGCAGCTCATCCTCGCAAAACAGCAAAGGAGCAATGAGGCGTATCAACCAGAATGCTCGCCAAGCAAAAAAAAGAGACACAATGACGTCCGCACAACGACGCTCCAAGCAACGCCGCGACCGAGATGCTGCCGTTCTTAGACGCCGAAATATGCAGCAATCCAGCCAACAACAGAGTGCAAAACGACGGGATACCGCTTTGCGCCGCGCAGCAAAACCACTTCCGTCGAAGAGATCACCCAGTAATCGTTTATCTCCACCAACAAGTGCGAGCATTATTCGACGTACTTTTAGGCAGACAATTATTAATTAGAATTTTGTAGACCGTAGAAGCTCGTCGTCCCAACTAACCGAAGACAACGTGCGGCGCAAGGATCAAAGGAAACGCCAAAATGAGCGCCAGGCAAAAAGAAGAGCCAGTATGTCGTCTGAACAGCGGCGATCAAAGCAACGACGAGACCGAGAAGCGGCTGCACGAAGGCGTAGTGCTAATGCGCGAAATGGGCAGCAAAATAGTGTAAATCGACGGGAACGACAACGGCATGCATTGCGCCGAGCAGAAAACCCAATAGCACAAGCAACGGAAAGTGTACGTCGAAATAAACAGAGGCAACAGAATGCCCGTCAAGCGACAAGGAGAGCGAGCATGACGTCTGCGCAGCGCCAATCCAAGCAACGCCGTGACCGGGAAGCGGCTGTCCGAAGACGAAGTGCTATTGCACAATCTGGACAACAACAAAGCGTTAACCGGCGAAAGAGGGAACGCGCCGCTTTGCGTCGTACGGCAAATCAGCAACAGTTAATCCCACATATATTAGCAAAAGAACTTGAGCAAAAAATGCGATCACTGAAATGGTCCACCTGCAAGGGTTGCAACGAAGCTTGGCCAGGATTGAAAATTGACAAAAAACAGCTCTGCGCACATTGCCGGAAACCAAATCCAAAATTTACGAAGGCGAACAACATGCACCCCGGCGAAGTGCCACCAGAACTAAAGTGTCTGTCCTTTGTTGAGCAACAGTTGATTGCCCGAGTTCATCCCGTTGTATCCGTTTACAAAATTGGAAAAGGACAACAACTCGGTTATTCTGGCAACGTGATAAATTTTCTTCAAGACGTAAAAGAATTTGCCAAGAAACTGCCTCATCTTCCGAGTGACCTGATATCAGTTGTGGTTGTTAACCGCCAGGATGCTGACAATTACACGGCGTTCAACGTATCATCAGTAAAGATACGGCGCGCCCTGGTATGGCTCAAACGAAACAACATGTGGTATAAAGATATCGAAATCGATGAAGCTGCGTTGAAATCTTTACCAAAAAATGGCAACATCCACTCACTACTGACGAGTATAAGTGGAGACGATTTCGTGCTACCCGGAGACGATGGACGTGTGAACGATACAGGAGTCCCTAACATACTGCAAAGCAATCAAGCAGCTAAAATAAGGGACGCAATTGGTGCGGACAATACCCGTGTACCGTATCCAGCAATGGCAGATATACCGATTGACGAATTCAATACTGCGGGTTACGTGGCGCAAGCATTTCCCTGTCTTTTGCCAACTGGAAATGCAGATTTACGAGACAACAGAGGCCGGCATACACCAGTATCCGAAGCCGAATATTTCAAGCACTTGATGCGCATTTCGGATGGTCGATTTGCAAAACACCCCACGTTTCGATTTTTTGCTTTGAACAGCCTAATGCGGTGGCAAGCAATTCAAACGGGACAAATTTTTGTTAGAAAAAGTTCGCTGGGAAACGTGACCTCTGAACAGCTACGTGAAATGCTGAATGCCAACCCCAATTTAATTAAACAAATTATGAATTACGGATCAAAGCTACGGGGAACCAGATCCTATTGGTTTCAACGGAGTGCGGAATTGGGGGATATGGTCAGATCAATTGGAGTTCCTACATTGTTTATAACCTTGTCAGCTGCAGATCTTTACTGGCCAGAGTTATACGACCTAATCGATCTCCAAACGGACTTAGAGAAATGCACTGAACGGGAAGCACTTAGAAAGAAAACAAAGGCGCTACAGGAAAATCCGCTGATAGCAGATTGGTTCTTTATTGAAAGGTCGCAGATATTTATACATAAAGTACTCGGGCCGAAACTAAAGATCAAGGATTACTGGTACCGATATGAGTTTCAACACCGTGGAAGCGTTCACCTGCATGGGCTGTTATGGCTTGACGGAGCACCTGATGTTACCCGACTGAACGAGATGAATGCAGACGAAGTGCAAAATGTAACTGACTATTTTGATGGAATCATAACGGCTACAAACCCCGATATTAACGCCATCGCTCCCTTACAACATCCTTCTGGTATCCGCCCAACCGCTGTTGCCGACTGGGATACAGACTACGTCAATCTCGTCAACAAAGTTCAACGCCATACAATGTGCAAACCGGAAACATGTTTAAAAAAGGTCAAGAAAAGCGGTCCAGAAAAATGCCGTTTTGATTTTCCGCAAAAGCTGCTAGCTGTCAGCACTTTGTGTGCAACGGACGGGAAGTGGGGCTACACTCCCAAACGGAATGACCCTCGAGTCAACCGCCACAACAGAGGGATTCTGCAGGCTTGGCGAGCGAATGTGGACGTTTCTGCAATTACCGATAAGCAAGCCGTTATCAACTACGTCGCAAAGTATGCCTCGAAAGGTGAACCTAGATCCGCCACCTATGCAGAAATCTTTCGCACAATTTTGGATGCGGGCGCCTCTGGATCAGATAAAGCGAGAAAATCAATTCAGAAACTGCTCACTAAATCCATATCAGAACGAGATATTTCTGCACAAGAATGCATGCATCTACTGATGGGGCACGATTTGTACCGCAGTTCGCGCAGTTTTGTCAACATCACTTTAAAAAACGATGAATGGGTTCCTCTGACAAGTGTAAAGACTGATGATGATTCACCTGAAGGACAAGGGAAAACAATCCTAGAGAAATACAAGTTACGTATTCCGGAGATGGAGGGACTGTCGCTGTTTGAAGTAGCGTCGAAATATTCTTGGTCTCGACAGAACTGGAGAAAAAGAGCGGCGAACAAGGAAGCCGTTGTGCGGGTATTTCCTTGACTGACGCTCACTGGTAACCGACCAGCAATGAAGTGAACCTGTTAGCATTAATTTTAACACTGAATATTTACAGGCGATGCACTAAAAGACGAAGAATTTTACCGGCAGCAAGTTTTGCTACATTCACCTTGGAGAAACTCCGATTCTGTCCGTGGTCCTGAAGAAACGTGGGAAAGCATTTACGTAACACTTGACATTCCCAGCGAAACCAACTTGCCCGATGCAGAAGATAATATTGACCTGTCTGACGACGAGGAAATCAATGAGCATCGCGAACAGGAAGAGTATATGGTTCTGCAAGGGCACGCCCCAAATGCTGATTTGCCAAGGGTAGAACTCGGCATGCGCCAGATCGATAAGGATTTTGACTGGACCGCATCATACAACCACTTCGCCGGCATTGGTGGCGCTAACACCTTTCTAGAAAGGAACAAATCGGATGGGAACGAAGCAGGCGATCAACCACATCTACCGCTTAATGTAGTGCTATCCGGTGAACAGCGCGCAGTGTTCGATTATTTTTGCGGACAACTGGATGGAACAGTGGAAAATAAGCTTACCGTGGTTCAGGGGAAGGCTGGAAGTGGCAAGTCAACCGTAATATCATCAAACTTCGGACCTCCGCTGGATATGGGCCAAAGTCATACAAACTTTTAGCCCCAACTGGTGTTGCAGCCAATAATATCGAAGGAGAAACAATACACTCGGTTCTACATATACCCGTCAACAAAAAGTTTCTGGATTTAGAAGGAGAAGAACTGAATCGTTTCCAGGCAGAGTTTGAGAATATTTCCTGTTTGATCATCGATGAGTTTAGTATGATCGGATGCTCATTGTTTGCCAAAATGGATAAGCGATGCCGGCAAGCAAAGCCTGAAAACTCGGATGTACCCTTTGGTGGCCTCATTGTATGCTTGTTCGGCGATATCAACCAATTACCACCGGTGCTCGACAGGCCACTGTACGGGGATGGCTTTAACGGGGAGTTGGCCGACTACGGCCAGATGGTATATCGAACTGCTTTCAATAAGTCTTTTATTCTGCAAACGTCCCACCGGCAAAGCGGCGGCAACACTGACCAGCAACATTTGCGAGATGCTCTAGACCGCATCAGCACCGGTGACTCAACCGAAGAAGATTACAATAAAATGATGACAAGGGTTTACTCACTTTTGCCTGCTGAAGAGCAGATCAACTTCCGTGGGGCGTTACATCTGTTTTCGGAAAGAGAACCAGCCAAAAACTACAATGAGAACGCCCTGACACAGCTTAACATGCCGGTGGCCAGAATAAGGGCGGACCATAACGGTAGCACTGCGGCGAAAGGTTAATTGTCATACCATTTTATTTCTGCATACAGACAAACTTAGTATTTTCTGTTTATCTGTTTAAAATGTGGATATTCTGTTCATTCAACAGGAACAGAAGAGCAGGCAATGGGTTTGGAACCTACTTTATATCTGTCACGAGGCAGTAGAGTTATGCTCAAACGAAACCTGTGGACGTCAAAGGGGCTCGTTAATGGAGCGTTGGGATATGTAAGGGACATTGTGTACGAACCTGGAACATCGCCGTCTGATTCCCTGCCGTACGCCATTTTCGTGGAATTTGATAAATACACTGGCCCAACGTTTGCAAATAATTGCGTGCCTATAACCCCCATAACTACCAAGTGGATGGAAAGGTCTCAAAGCTGTTCCAGAACGCAGTTCCCATTAACATTGGCTTGGGCCATTACAATTCACAAAGGCCAAGGGATAACATGCGACAAAGCCGTGGTGCATATTGGAAAACCGGAATTTGCGTCGGGACTCATCTACGTCGGATTTTCACGCGTTAAAACTTGGAGCGGTTTGGCCATTGAACCAGTCTTTCCGTTTCTTCTGTTGCAGTCAATAAAACACAAGAAAGCAACTCAACAAAGAAGGCGCGAATTAGAGCGGCTGAAATGCATGTCGTAAAAACTAACATTCAATAGCCCAACTGTGTGTTTCTGCGTAATTCATTTCATTTTGGCCACTCTTAACTGTGCTGTCTGTGCACATCAATACTTAATTGTACTTATGCATTAAACTGGCCGCACATGTTCTGAGATGAAAATGATGTCTAGCTTCGCTTCGGTCTTTTAGTGCTAGCCTACAGCGGTGCATTTTCCTAGTTATCTTGTGATTACGTGAACAATTCCGTAACTTCGGTTGAAGATTACTCGTACAGTTATATTTTCTGTACTTTGTATTGAAGTACTTGTACTGTTGTACATATAATCATAATATTATATTCGATTGAAAAGTTAGGCTCTGTGTAGTTCGGTTTCAAGGAAAGTGAAACGATCAAAGTAACATGAGTTTATACATTTGTATTATGCATTTCAGCTTTCGTGCACCGACAAATAATTTTTTTCCATTGTTTGCGTGCATCCTGTAGTCAGAATGTCATACGATATTCATTACTTTATTGGTCAAATCAGTGCCTCAATACACCAATTTGAAGAAAAGAAAACACGCTAAACTATAACAGAAAAATTTCGTTCAGCTTATCCAGTCCTTCCATCGTGCCCAGCACTGACGCCGCATTTCCCCGTTGAATTTCTATGGACAATCGCTGCCGCAGAAATTCGTGCGAGCGTGCTTCTCCGGTGTGCTGCTGCAGTCTTTTTCCCAGTTCTTTGATGATGGCGATCGCCGACGGTCCCCACGGGTCCAGTGTTTCGAAGGCGATCGGGACGAATAGTTAGCGGCCGACCAGAGGAATATAGTCCTGATTTCCGTAACTCTGCTTGCATGGCGGCCGCTCCGGCTGTGGTGGAAGTGGCCTTGACATGTGAAAGCGTAACAGTGTCTACACAGGTCACGTCCCAAGCGAGGCATAATCCGCGTTTCCATGCAAAAGTCGTGCAGCCATCTGGGCGGCGTTCATTGGTGTGAGAGGTGCCTTGCGGCTCCAGTTTCCCGGGCACACCAGCGGATACAAAGGCTCTGCAGACAATGCTGTTCAACGCGCCGTGACGTGGATGCAGCCCGGCGGAAAAGGCACATGACAGCCCGTGGTGCCCGTAAAAAACCAACAGGTTTGTGGCACTTGACGCAGTCGTGGGGTTCACAAATTGTAGCACCGAGACGGCGGCCGATGCTGATCTTCAGTTCGTCATCGCCCAGTAGATTACCGATGTGAGCGGACGGTAATGCGTTCAACCAGATGCCGGCCTCTGGTCTGGACTGGGCAAGCAGGCGCGCTGTGTTGACTTCGTCTTGAAACACCTCCAGCAGGGCCGCAAGAGACACGTTGAATAATGGCAAGTCTCAGGCCTTTTGGGACTTCCGAAATGCAGCTTCCGGGAGTACGGGTTGACGGGCTTTTAATTTCCATGACTCCGAGGCACCAGTGACGTCAGCAGCGGCGTGGTTAGGCAGCAGTGCGGATAGCAAACCGGATACGGAATGAATCGAAGCCAGGAAGGCTGGAAGGGATAATTCTTCCGACCGGCGGATGCCGATTCCACCTCTGCTAACCGGTAACGTTGCTTGACGCCAAGGCGGGTAGTCGTTGTGATTAGTCAGTACATTCGACAAATTCTGGAAACAGCAGCGCATTGCTTCGTCCAGCTGATATAGTAATGCGGGGTATTTCCATGCATTACAGTACCGCAACATGTAGATAATTTTCGGGGCGCCGAGACAATTTTTAAGGAGAAACAAGGCTTGATGACCAGGTAGTAACTGAAGTCGTTCACACATCAACTTCAAGGTACTGGCCTTCTCGTTCAGTACAGGCCCGATTGCTTCATCCAGTACGAGTGCACCGAGTAAAGACATGGTGGATTCCGTCAGAATACGTAGTTGTGGGTAACGCTCGAGAATTCCGCTGTGACATCGCGCTGCGATTCAGATGACCCACCAAATACCAGCAGTTCGCATTTAGCCTCGTTAACTTGCAAACCGACAGCAAGCGCGCCTTCAATAAGTCGGCGGAAACAATCAGCAACCGTCGTCGGTGCACCGCCCAGGGTTCCGTCGTCTAGGAACCAGGCATTGAGTTCCGCGTTCACATGATTGGTCCACTTTGGCCACCAAGTTAAGGTTTATTATAGCACCCGGAAGCGGATTCTCAAATCCCATTAGCCACTGTGTAACCGAAGATACAAAGTACAACGAAATCCAATTCAAATTCAACAAAAAATTGGACGCGTTACGATGCAACAGGTTATAAAAAGACAGCTTCTTACTTAATATTTCGTGCTTGATGGTATGCAGACGTACCGGGTAATTTGACATAAATATTATGTTAACTAACAAGAGCTAAAGATATGCCATGCCATCCGATGTTTTAGTAATGTGATATCGTTTTTCCTAAACACGAGACTCTCATGTATAGGTAGACGATGCCAGCGATTACCAAAATATCGGACAAGGTCACAAGAGACAGTATTTCCAACTACGCATCTATGACGGTGGATTCTGGAAGAATCCAAGGGCAAGGCAGAAACGGAATCTATCCTGCTGAGTGAGCAGTGTTGTACGCTGCGAGCTATGCGGAAACGCAAAACACCCGACAATCAACTGCGCACTCTATCGGCCAACTCACAAGATACTACAGAAGCTCCCGCAGCAGAATGCTGCGGAGCCAAAAGGACAGCAGGTAGCTCAGACGACGATAGCTAGCAACTGAAGAATCTACCAGATTGAAGATCTGGTAGATGAAGAAAAATACCATCAAAATACAGCAAAGCAACTTAGCACCCACACTGGTGCGGGTGTACGGGGAGGCCACTCCTGCTCAAACATCTTTCTTAGCCGCTTGCATAGTCAACGTGTTGCTGCTAGACGGAAATAAGTCTGCGACAATGCCTACAAGGAGTCACTTTAGCGACAACGGTATGCCTACAAGTGAGTCAGGTGACTATCGTGACTACGCGAAGAAAAAAAAGCGTCTGAATTTTCAACTCTGCTACGAAACGCGTTTCAACAGAGCAGCCGTTGAAACAAACTGCTGAAACCAAAACACCCTAACTTGGCAATACTATGTGCAAATTCGGTGTACAGGGACCAGAAAAATGCGCTGAAAATTAACCCGAGGTCAGACTTACTCTAAACAAAAGCCCCGAGGTCGATAGGGGTCTCGTGCAGTCACTGAACGTGGTAACCCAAATCACGTTTAAAAAAAATATAACTGTCAAACTTCACTGCTGCAGCGATGCTTAATTACAGCAATCAGCAATATATTATGAAATGGTACTTCTGAGGCGAAGTTCATGCTCTTCTTGTTGACGAGTCGGTTAATCGTGAATAACAACAACGGCTGTACTTCGAACTGCCAAGGCGGCGGGCAAAATCTGGCAGATGGAAGGTGATACTGGGGCAACCAAACCGCACGAGCCCGTGACTACAAGTGAAATGGAATTCATTTTACGTGAATTAACAGTTATTAATTTTGTTGAGCGTGTTATGCAGCTGAGCTATAAATGTTGTACCGCAATGGTGTCTTATCACTTTCGCGATATCAAATAGATTACACGCTCTCCTTCGCATTACTCGTACTTCAATACAGCTGCACCAGTCCAGAAACGTACAGCGTAAGAACACTGCAATTTAACAACGGTGAACTTCATCTGAGTACAAGGGCCCCTTGTACTCAGATGAAGTGTCAAGGGATACAAGCGCCACTTCTGTATGATAACATCAACTGCTTTGGTGATAATAAGCGCAACTTATATATAACATACCAATCTGACATACCACAATTATCAATACAACATACGTGTCTGCGTTCGACTTCTGCAGGCAGTTGGAAAATTAACGCACTGCGGCAAGGTTCCTGGTGTATGGCATACTACGAGTTTGAGAGTTTTCAAGCAGTAAATCTGTGCTGTAAACGCGATTCAGTAAAAGGCTTAACAGCGTTCAGATTACCGTCAGCCGGACCCGTATTTGTTTATATAGATCTGTGATCCGAAATGGAGAGCGTCAGTTTCAGAGATCCCAGCGAAGTCGAGGAAATCGGTCATAAGTTGCAGTATCGTTACACCGGTGCCGACATAATTGGACAAGGAGCATTCGGAATTGTTTATTTAGCCAGAATTACCGAAGCTGGTGATTATTTGGGGCCAGCGTTCTTAGCTGTCAAAGTGATAAAATTCGAAGCTGCTGCTGCCAAAAAAATTGGGGAAAATCCGTGAACAGCTTAAGACAACTTTTTCTATTGAAGCACGAGACCTGGTGGTTTATCATAGGGTATCTATCACCAAAGCTGGTGGGTGGACGAGCGTTGAACTATCAATGGACTACCACCATAAAGGTGACATTAAGCAGTGAAACTACCAAATTGCTGGAAACTGGTTTTTCATTACAGCTGATTTTGATTACGGCTATTGATTTCTTAGGTGACCTTGCCTCCATTTTAAAGGATGTCCAAAAAGCCAAAAGGCTCTTAAACAGCATCGCAAACATAATCAGATTAATAAAAGATGTTGCCCTAGGACTGTCATTTCTGCACAGGAAAGAAATAATAAACGGCGATTTAAAACCCGGAAATATTCTTCGAAGTATTTCCCGAACTGGCAGCGAGAAACTGGTGATTGGAGATTTAGATGATTTGGTGCAAATGAACGAAAGCGCAACTTGCTCTGCAGATATTTCCCAGTTACGTGGCACAACACGCTACATGTCACCGGAGATGATAAAAAAATTTGTCGTGTCAGGAACAGAGTCGCCAGGACGGAAAACGGACATGTGGAGCCTCGGTTGTATAATTCTGGAGATGGCCGAAGCCTTCACATGGGTAAGTAATAAGCAACTGGAGAAGGATGGAGATGTTGTTGACGCTGGAGGTAAACTGACCAATTATCAGTACGCCACCCTGATCATCGACGGATACGTTCCAGTGGTGAACGACAGGATTAATGAGAAATTAGCGGACATCATCCGAAAGAGTTTGAACACAGATAGTCGAAGCCGATTATCCGCTAGTGAATTACTGCATGAACTTCAAAAGAAAAGCGTCATAGTATTTCTCGCAGGTGGTCGCTTTATGAGAGGATTCAATTCCAAACAGTGTTTGATATTCGATCCATCAACGGATTCTATAGACGCTCCAGAAGTGCTTCATGCGCCAGTGTACTTGCAAGGATTCGGGAAGCTTGACTATCAACCGCTAATCACCACAATCGGAGGAACCATTTTATTTACAGAAAAGGTAACTGACCATGACGGGATCAACGTGAATTTCCATTTCTGGAACGTGGCCCAAGGACATTGGTGGCGTTGGTGGGGACGTGAGCCAGCTCATCCTTTAAATATGCATCCGGATACAAGTCTGGTGGCAATAGGTGACAATATTTATTTTTGGAACTCAGACGAAATGTTTACGGAAATAAACATTTCTGACGGCAGTGCGACTACCCTGAAAAATATTCCTCGAAGGTAATGAAGACTAAGTTGTTTTGTTGCTCCAGACCTGTAGTCACGAATGTAAAGAAGTTTAGGTTAATTTTTTAGTGCTTATCCACCTGGACAAGCGGTAGCAAAATGCGGTGAGCGGATATTTTGCGCAGCGGAGAACATGTTGTATCAGTATGACACGGTGACTAAAAAATGGAAATGCTTACCAGAGCTGCCAAACCGGCGCATGAAGTTTGCGATGGCTATTGTCAGTAGTAGAAGGTACAAGGTGGTACACAGGCACTATATTTTCTGTATACGGGATAGCCTGGTATACAGGAAGTACAATTCCTGTATACGGGACAGTTTACGCCACTTTGAAAAGGTTATCAAAGGTTAATGCATACCGATTACTGTATGTACTTTAATTTTGCACGGTCTGTATTCCATTATTATTTGCACTGCTCAGTCACGCGGTATCGTAAGATGACGAAAAACCCAGTTTTTTCTTAAACAAAGTTAACAAATTTAGCGAAAAAAATGGAAGGAAGATAAAGACAGGGTTAGCAGAACGAGCTATTGATTCATATATATATATATACGTAAACGTATGAAGCAAACAAAAGCAACACTTTTTACGAAGCAAAATAAGGTGTTATACAATCAAAGAATTTTCCATCCAGTTAATTCAGTTACGCTTTTTACGCAAACGCATACGTTGTACACGGAACCGCTTCGGGATGTAGTCCTCTGGAGCAGTACTGTCAAAATCTGGTCCCCACTTTTTGTGCTCCACCTTATAGAACCGCTGTCCGGCAAATATGATGGTGCTTTTACGCATTTGATTGCCGCCGCAGGCCACACCAGCTTTTAGCGTATTCTAAATAATGTTCAAAATGAACCGTGACGCGGGCAGATATTACAGCACTGATAACCGCCTGTTAAGCACCTTTATAACGTGACGTGTCCCACTTGGTTCTGAAAACACCCAATCCGGCGTAACCGACGAAGCGCGCGCAGAGCCGCTTCGGTTTATCCACGCTGCCATTGCGCTCCGCCTTCTGCATCTGGCGGCACAAATCCAAGACCTGCTGTACGGCGTGATCGATGCATCGCTTATCCTTCACCTTCAGAATACAGTAGTTCAGTAAGAACTGCGTGGCGATATTGGATGCCAGTAAGCCGCAAGCCAGTTCGAGGGTCACCGCCTACAAGTTTAGCTAGCTAATCACATAAGTATACACTGTTGAAACAGAAAATCGCGCGGTAAATAACTTCAGTACGTAACGCACTTCGTCTAACCTTTCACCGAAACAGAATGTTTCCTATACACAGGTGGCATAACCTCGCTTTAAACAATACTGTTCCCCTGCTTTTAGAACTGAGTAGGCCGCTTTCCTTGTTGTATGTTGCAACATAGCACGCATGTCGGGAATGTACCTGTGACTGAATGTCCTCTTGTAGAACCTGCACAGGGCGTCGCCAACGGTCGAGCCGGCGGTAGTGCTGGGGGTTTGCACCACGATCCAGCTCCCGCAGTTTGTCCAGAAACTGGCACCACGGATCGGTGAAAGATTTTCCTGAACTATCCATGTGATACACAGCTACGACAATAACGTTTTGACGACACTGCGGATGTTGATTACGCATTAGATAAAGAACAAAACTTTCATCTTGACTACAATACGAAGAGTCAGACATCTTTCTCTGTTGACTGGTATACCGCCAGTGCAGCGCACCATGGTGCATAAGTTATGATTCATAGAAATAAGAACGGCTATGTTAAAAAACGGAGCTATGCAGCGCGGTATCTTGAATGTACAGTACAAGCGTAGATAAGCGCCGGATCGTGATGACACACGGTACCAGTCGTTATCTTCTGCGCATATTGCACAAAAAAATCTACATAGGCTTTGTAAGATCCCGAATATCTGAACCTGAGCAATGTGGGCCTTCTATATTATACATATTTAAGATAATACAATGCAAGAGTATATGTACCAACATGTTGCGCTTACTGTTCTTCAGAACCACAACCAGCGTATAGTGCTTGGCACTGTTGATGGTGTCACCTCCGTAACAAAACGGAAAAATTACAGCGTCAGCCTTCATTATGCAATCGAAAGCTTTGCTGTTAGTCAGCAAAGGTTTCCCAATATGCGCGCCAAGTTTGCGCAAATCCCGGTAGGATTTGAGGTCGAAAATGCTCTGAAAACCGAAGAACAAGACTTCCCCATCATGTCCTGTAGCGGTGATTACGCTTCTCATGATAAGATCAATATGATCTGAATACAATGGCATGACCGGCTTGAAGCAGTTCACGAGTAACTGGCATTCATCCTCTTTGGCCACAAAGGTCTTGCGAGATTTGGTGTAGGCGCTGATAGACTGACTCGCCGCTTCTCTCAAGTTCTCACAACAACCAAATTTGACCTCTGTGAAAAGGTGTTCAAATGCCTCTCTTTCAGATGCAAACGTTTTGGTGCAAAGGTCATTCTGTACCAAACTTTTAGTAAAACAGTGATACTGTTTGGCTGAAGCCATTGTTAGTTTTTGAGCAAGCAAGATAAATTGAAAATTTACTTGAAGTTAGATTTTCGAAGTCGGAGCGGTACTCTGTACGTCTTCCTGCTGTCTGTCTGTCTGTTGTCACGTTGGTTGCATGGCAACGCCATGGTTAGCATTCGGATCCAAGGCTGTGCTGCACTGGTTCAGTGTTGCTTCAGTAAAATGCTTTCGTTTCACAAAATGCTCTCACTATATTTGGAAACACACCATGTCGATCGTTGTATTTGACAGAAACCAAAATTTTTGTGTACAAATTTGCTAACATACGTTACGGTTACAGATCGGAAACATTTACAGGAGTAAGGTCACCAAGATATTCGGTACTGTTGTACAATTTGTCCCTTTCTGTGAACGCAATACAAACAACAATACTACACTTTACACAGTACTTTAGTACTACCGTATTATTACAGTACTTTAGGATGCATACTGTCCAGTTAGCGTACGGAAGACAGAGCGTACAACACATACCGTAATTATCGCAGTTACACCGACCCTCCTATCACTGGGAGAATAAAAATGGACGCGTGCAGGAGCAAAAATAGGGGGAGCGACTGGTGACACAGTGTCGGAAAATCGAAATGTCAAGGCGGTGGTAGATTGCGGTGTCTACAAACATCGCTGCTGTACAATTCACTGCTGGGTCGGAGGGCTGTGATTGTTAACAGCCCCGTTGAGGCGGGCTATCCATACGCCAGCAAACCCGAAGACTAGCTAACCCAAAGACCGCTAGCAAACCCAAAAACTGATGAACACCTTAAGCAACATTTTTCAATAATTTTCAGGGAGAATAAAAATCAGCGAACCGGATCGATGCCCTTGCTTGCTTTTATATGCAGATGGGTGCAATGCGGATAATTGGTTTTGATTACAATTCAACAAGGATAATTGATGTCGGTGATCCACGATAACTGTTGCCAAGCGTAGTATGATTAGGTAGGATTATCCCTGATCGGAAGTCCCGTCTCCCGGATAATATAAAAGGTCAGCCTACTGCAATGTATTTCGTGACCTTTACATTTTTTTTAATGGTTTTGTATACCCATGGACGATTTATTGGATGATCTGATCTCGCAGTTAGATGCAGCGATAGGTGACTCGCAACCTAACAATGCTGCTAGCCAACATGTTGAAAGGGAGAATGAAGAGAGCAGCTGGTTGGATGAGCGTGCAGCTGAGGTGGACTGGCCGCAAATCGCTGGAACCTCGGACCTCAATGAATTAAACCGTGTGCTTACACAACGTGAGTTGATTAGCCAATAGTAATTCCTATTCTTTTTTTATTGGTTTTCAAAACTGCGCTACTGTATATAATAATTTCTCGATGTAGTTTCGAAAGGGTCCTCAGAAGAAGGTTTACGAAACCAGAACATTTCTGCAGGTGAGCAAGCCTTCAGAAACAACGCAAAAACATACCTTCTTTAAACGAATTATTGGTTTGCAATTGTTTTCTTACAAAACTATTCGCAACACCCATTCGCAGAAGATCAAGTTATCGAAGATGTCTGTATGCAAAGCCTTCATAATGGACACCCTGGCGAGAGTGCGGCTGCTATAGCACAAAACGGTGAAGTAGAACAATAAACCCATAAAAATATTTCTAATTGTTGCGATCTTGGGCCAGTGATAAATCCTAAATTATTACTGAATAAATAATTAAAAATAATCAATTTTATGTAAATAATTAATTGTATCGTTGTTTCACGTCTGAACACAGCATTGGTGCAGCAGTTCGTTGAAAATTACATGCCTGAAAATTATGCTACTAGTAAGTTCTTGGACCTTTGTTTAATGTGAACAATTTTTCTGCTTCTCATTATCAGGCGCTGTTTTTTGTTAGGTGGCAACGCGGTTTCTTATGATCTTGGTGCTTTGTCGACTGTTACGGTTCTTGGACAAGGACGTGCTCAAAACAACTGGGTCGATGAAGCGATTGCTGTGTCGCTGCTGCAACCCGCATCGCTGGCATGGGTTCGTACGAACCAGACCCTGATCGTGCATGACATGATACCTGAGGTTTTGCGAGGCGTACCGTGGGATGTAAAGGCCAAGAAACTGCTCATGTATTTCGGCGGTAATACAAACTGGGACGGATGGTTTAGCCACGCCATGTTAATTTTCTTCACGAAACCTAGTGTCTTGGAAATCAGCCGAGAAGAACTCCAAGTGTTGCTGAAGTATTTGTTTGCTGGTGGATGGTACACGGATGTTGCGACCGCAGTGAATGCAACAAAAGGAAAAGATGTACCAACAGCGCCGTACCGACGTTTCAGTGGAACGCTCTTTGCTTGGTACCGCAAATTTGCTACGAAAACCAAATTGCGAAAGAAACCGCCGACCTCTTACCTTACGCTGACGCGAATTTCTCATTTTGGTTGTTATGAAGGTTGTGTCAATATTAACCTTGCTGCAGTAGAGTCTATCTTGGAACAGCGCGCGCATTTAACTGTTCTTCTTCCGGAAAATATGCAGATGCCTGAGCTGATTTCTCAATAATATCCATACATATGTGTTCTGAATGACGATAAAGAAAATCAAGAAAAAAAACAAAATTCGTTCGTTTACTTTTGAGAAAGCACTGCTAGCAGGAGAACAAAATAAATTTGTTTAGTGCTGCAAAAGGACACTGGCGCCAAAAAGAAATAAAAAAATATAAGCAATTTGTCATCGTCAACTAGGTCGAAAAATTGTTACACGTATTTGATTACAACGATATTCGAAGAAAAAATCTGAATGTTTCAGAAAAGCACAGTAGGAATTAAACAATATTCGAATTAATCCATCTTTTTTGCTAGGGTTGTAAGAAGTTATTCACATCAGCTAGCAGGGTATACTATGTAATTATTTTCAATTATCCAAATCAGATCCAAAAATATACGATGTAATCGTTCACGGTTATCCACAATATCTGGTTTTTATTGATGGTAACCGTTTTCAGTTACCACGATAATCGAAAAAAAAATCCCGTTAATATATAAATGAGTTAACGAAGAAATGAGGCGAAATATTAATTTCCTCAGTCTGATTGTTTTAAGTTTCAATCATGGACGACCTAGTCACCGACGTGCCTTATGCAGTGGAAGATTTACTTAACGTGGAGTGTACGGGTGAGAAATTTTCTAAAAAATATCGACTACACTTTAAGTGCTTCTCTGTCAAAGTTTCCGAGCTGGATAAGATTCCTTTTTCCGACGTCCCTATCGCCATAACGCAGATCATTGAGAACTTGCTAGATACACTTCTGGTCAATGTGGGTCAAACCGAAATGGTTCGAATGCGACTCGACTCTAATTGTTTGAACCGACCAATTTGGACGCCACCGATACAACGTTCCCAGCTTACCGTAAAGCGCTGGATGGCCGAAGTAGCCCGTGTACTTAATTCCTACGAGCAGTTTGTAATCGATGAGTCCTTTGAGATATCCTTGCAATATACCGATATTCCGAAAGGAACGTGTGTACGTGAAGTGCCCGCCCTCCTGCAACGGAGACTAGAAAAGATGAAATCGGTCGTGCTCATTAAGAATTCGGATCAAATTTGCTTGGCACGCGCACTGGTTATCGGGAAAGCTCATGCCGATGGAAACAACAACCTTTACCGCAAGTTAATGCGTGGGAAAAAACTGCAGACAAGAGAAGCGCAATGCCTTGTTCATCGAGCTGGATTTGTTGAACAAGAATTCAATTTACGGCACGTCCACAAATTTCAAGAGATCCTGCATAAATACCAAATCATTGTTGTTAGTGTCGACCATGCAAACCTTATAGTTTTCAACGGACCGGTCCAGGAGAAAAAGATCATTCTGTTACATCATGACCGCCATTTTGATTTACTGAACTCACTCCCGGCATTCTTTAAAAAAAAATATTGGTGCTATTCCTGCAACAAAGGATACTCTGATCGAAGAGACCATCGTTGCTCCAGCATCTGCAAAGCTTGCCTTCTGTCATCCTGCACGTCTAGCACGGCTGCCATGGTGCACTGTGAAGAGTGTAACCGAGACTTTTTCGGACAAGAATGTTACGCACAACATAAAAAAGCCGGCACCAGAGACAAACCAACCAGAAAAAGCATCTGCAGCACTGTATTTTTCTGTAAACAATGTTTGCGAATAGTTTCCCTCAAAGGACGAAGGAACGGTAATATTCATCAATGTGGAGAAGTGTTCTGCAAAACCTGTCAGAAACATGAATTGCCTCAAGTACATCGGTGCTACATGAAGCCTCATAACGTTAATCTTGAAGAACTAGAACTCAATTCAAACGCCGAATTTCTGTATTTTGATTTCGAAACATATGTGGAAGGAAACGGAATTTTGGTGCCCAACCTAGCAGTAAGTTGGCTGAAGTAGAAAAAAAAAACATTTTCTTTGATTCGCTTATCTCTCCCTTATACCTTTTAGGTTGTTCAAGATGATAACGGAAATGAATGGGTGTTTCCCAGCGAAGAAGAACCTTTGAACGGAGATATTACCAATCAATTATGTACGTTCCTTTTCAGTGAAGATCATCGCGACCATTACATCATCGCACACAATTTCAAAGTACGTAATTTTTTTATCAAATAGGTATGTACCAATAAAACAAATAGCTTATTTGTAGTCATTTGATGGCTACTTCATTATGAGTTGGCTTTTAAAGAACGGAATCGTACCAAAGGTCATTTTGAACGGTGGCAAAATTCTGCAACTGGATGTGCCGCAATTGAACATTCGGTTTCGAGATAGTATCAACTACAACCCACAAAGCCTTGCAAAATGGCCAGCGACATTCGGTTTGCCAGAAATCAGTAAGGGAACCTTTCCGCACCGGTTTAACCGAAAAGAAAACTGGAATTGCATCGTTCCATTTCCCTCAATGGATGAGTACGGTTACAATGCTATGAATGCCAAATCTAAAGATTCATTTCAACGCTGGTATGAAAAAGAGAGGCTTGAAAAAAATAATCTTTTTGATTTTCGTAAAGAGTTTGTGGACTACTGCAAGATGGACGTCACGGTTTTACGACTCTGTTGCCAGCAATTTCGAAAGCTATTTCAAGAGATTAGTCAAGGATTATGTCCGTTTGTCTCCTCGTTAACTATCGCGGGATTGTGTAACCGGTATTGGAGATCGTTTATGTTGAAACCAGAACAAATTGCACTATTACCGCATGGACTTAATGCAAGGAATCGGCATCAATCCGTGAAGGCTAAGAAATGGCTTTCTTGGATGGAAGAGGATGGCAACTGTACAATTCAATCTGCCATCAATGGTTCCGAACACCGCGTCGGACCCTACTTTGTCGATGGATACAGAAATGACATCAACATGGTCTATGAATTCTACGGATGCACATTTCATGGCTGCCCGAAATGTGTAGCGCCTAAAACTGTCCATCCGTTTCGCAATCTTCCAATGACCGATGTCTACCAAGAAACCCTTGATCGCGAAAATTACATTCGTACACAGGGTTACGGGCTCACCTCTATTTGGGAGCATGAGTACGACGAAGAACTCAAAACAAATCCAGAAATGAAGGCCTATATTACGCGGCAGCATTTTACCGAACGCCTAAACCCACGGGATGCTTTCTATGGAGGGAGAACAAACGCCGTGAAACTTTTTCATGAAGTGTCCGAGGATGAAAAAATCTGCTATTTTGACGTCAACAGCGAGTATCCCTTCGTTAACAAAAAACAGACGGTATCCTGTTGGGCACCCTATTGTGATTACAAAAAACTTTGAAGATATCCAGTCTTATTTCGGAATGGTGTTGTGTGAGATTTTACCCCCTGGTGATCTGCAGCTTCCGGTGTTACCGTATCGATGCGGAGGAAAGTTGACTTTTCCTTTATGCCGAACATGTATGGAAAAGCATCAAAATAGCAGATGCGAGCACGCGGACTGCGATCGTACTATCACCGGCACGTGGTGCACACCAGAAATCATCAAAGCCTTGGATAAGGGCTACACAGTTGTGAGAATTTTTGAAGTGTGGCATTTCGACAAGTACGAAGACCGGTTGTTTGAGGAATATATCAACCGGTTCCTTAAACTCAAGACCGAGGCTAGCGGTTGGCCGACCGAGATTCAGAGCGAGAGGGAGAAGCAGAAATACATAACCGATTTCAAAAATCATGAAAACGTGGATCTGGAGTACAACAAAATCAATCCTAATCCCGGTTTGAGAGCTTTAGCGAAGCTGTGTTTGAACAGGTAAAAATGTACTGTGTCGCATAAACACTGCCAGCATTTTAAAAAGCTCTTGGTTTTATAGCTTTTGGGGTCGGCTTGGAATGCAGGACAACAAATTGAATACAATGTACATCAGCGAGCCAGAAAAATTTTATGACATGTTGCTCTCTGGGAAATATCACGTTCACTCCTGGGACCTTTTTAACGATGACGTTGTGCAGATCACCTACACTACCGAAAGCAATTTTGTGGATCGGAATCCGAACACCAATGTGATTCTTGCAGCGTAAGCTGAACGGTCTGTCAAACAAGAAATATTACTTAAAACCAATTATTCTTCTTGGTTGTAGGTTTACAACATGCTGGGCTCGCCTTCACTTGCTGAACTTCATGGAAATGGTGGAAGGTCGTTTGTTATATTTCGATACAGGTGAGCAAATCACTAGTTTTTATTTCTAATAGAATAAATTCCATAATCTAACTTTTGACAGATTCCATATTTTTTGTAAGCCGACCGGGTTTTGCGGATCCACCGACGGGTATGTTTCTTGGCGACCTTACCAATGAATTGAAACCGGGCCAGCATATTGTACAGTTCGTTAGCTTGGGAGCAAAAACTTATTCCTACGTCACCAATGATGGAGACAGTGTTGTGAAAGTTAAAGGATTCACGATAAACAAGCGAACGAGTGAACAGATCAACTTTAAGACTATGTTGGACATGTTGTCGAACCGAAAAATTGTTACTGTGGATTATCCTGATGTTCTGCAGCGTAACAAAGCTAGTATGACAATCCGAAATGTGAACATGGTAAAGAGATTTCAAGTGACGTATGATAAACGTCGCATTTTTGATAGTGAGTACAATACTGTTCCATACGGATATATTCTAGGTTAATGCGGTGCTTTATTAAATTCTTCAATCATCTTCGCAATGTGGTCTACGGCTATGCATAGCTGGTCAGTAGTTTTCAATCCAAGAAAATTGCATTTACCGGAAGGAAACAAAACTGCACATCCAACATCAAGCTTAATTGCCAGGCCACTAAATAATTCCGGCGTATATTCTAGATGAAAATACGTGCTGAACTTTTCAATATGTACTCGCTCAGGAAATACATGATTGCCCACAATATTAACCACTCGATAGTTAGTAACAGTGCATGGATAACCAATTCCAACTAAAATTTTTGCAAAGCGATGGACCAAAACTTGTGCGTCATCTTCAGTTCGTGCGCCATTTACGGTAATCTTACCATTTCGATAAAGTTGACAGTGTGCTTTGTAAGGCGTTAGAATGCGCAAAAGCAGTCCTGAAAACTTGTGTGGAATGTATTGGGCCAGTGGTAACGCTTTTTCAATCCTCCTCAGGTCCAGGATAGTGTTTAAGTCCGCAACGGCAACGACATTGGTGATTCTGGGCATCGCAGTGGTACCACAAAGCAAATCGAACGGCTTTACGGAGGGTTGACACAGGCAGCGAAGTGAGTTTATGGTACGGGGGACAGCCCAATGACTCTAGGTTTCTAACTTCGGGTAGGTACTGCTCCAGCAGCCGGCACTTCTCTAGACCTTTTGCAAAGAACCGTATTGCATTCGGCCGTCCAATTCTTCGGAAAATGTCCTCCAGGGCGCAAGTCATTTGGTTATGCCGGTACTCGCCTTCTGTATACCACACCAATCCATGTGAGTGACGAGCTTGTTGTTTTAGCGCACGGTCATGCTTGCTAGCGAATCGCGGGAGCGTGAAGGTGTAGAGGCTTTGCTCGGCTTTTTCGGGACAGTAGAAAGCCAGTTGCTTAATATATTTCGTTCCGTCGATAACAAACCAGTCGGCATCCAGTATGCAGGGTGTTGCCATGTTTCAAAAAGTGTTTTTAATCGCAAAGTTTACCAAACGACAACTAAACTGATGGTCGCTGCCGATCAGGTTCGCTGACCAGTTGGTTGAACGTTGGACCACGGGATAGCAGGAACCAGTTATCTGAATGGTGTGTCGATTACCAGAAACGGTTATCCGTATGGTTCATGGATAACCGTGACTGGTTATCCGTATGGACAGTTGATAACCGAAACTGGTTATCGGTACGGACCACGGATAACCGTAACTGATAATCCATAAAGATTGTGATAACCGTTTCTGATTATCCGTGCGGCCCATGGATGATCGGCCCTGATTACCCCGTTTGGACCGTAAATAACCGAAACTGGTTATCCGTACAGTACATAGATAACCGAAACTGAATATCCATGAGGGTTAACGATAACTGTATCCGGTTATCCTTACGGTCCATGGATGACCGAAAACAGTCATCTTGGTTCAAGAATAATTATGGAATCCGAATAACTGAAGCGCCGTCGGATAATCGCGACTGATTAACTTTGTCCCCAAACCCATCGACCAACAAACCCCACTATAAAAGCCTAGCAGCTTTAGGAAACAGCTAGTCAATCTAGTTTTTTTTCTATTGCCTATCCAGTTTCCGGAATAGATATGGAGTTCATTGATTTGTTTGGCGCAAAGCCACCTCAGCCGGACCCTAGCAAGCGTAAGCGAAAAGACGGGGGGCGAACGGACGTTAAGAAGACTAAACCGAGCGGACAGGAGGCGGATGTTGAAAAAGGCAAACTAGCCAATCTACCGGATGGTGTGAACTCTCATCCGCGCTTTGCTTTCACGCAAGTGGGAAGGCCGGTGTATCGCTTGGGCAACGACAAATTTGTTTACGTGGGACCAAACACCGACGGGAAGATCAGTACGATTCGTATCGTTTTTGGTGAATGGAAGGAGCAACCGGACAATTCCTGGAAAGCCAGCTACGGGAAGAACGTTTCGCTATCTAAAACCGGTTTTCTCCGTTTGGCCGCGCTCATGCTGACCGAAAAAGCCGACATGGATGAAGCGGCCCGGGCCAGCGCAGCCGAAACTGGACGGCTGACACCGTTGTATCTGTTGGACAGTAGCATGTATTTTGGTTGGAGCCGTTTCAATGGCACCAACGTGGCCACGATTCGGCGCTTTGAAGTGAAGGGTGGGGATATGATTCCTACTCGTTACGGTATCTCTTTCGGTGAACGATGCTATGATGGGTTAAAAGGTTTAATGAAGGACCTGCAGCTGTTCAAGGACATTGCCAAAATCCAAAAGGAACAGGGTACCCAAGACCCAATCAAGGAAGGACTGACCTTCTCAACGCTGTGTGAAAATATTGCTGATGCTTTGGCGCCACTGGTCAAGCAATTGGACAACGGGACGTTTCAACGCTGTCATGAAGACAACTATGTACCGTCCGATGCGGAATGGAACGGGGCCGTGGAGCGCCTTTTGGAATTACGTATGGTCCATGGGATCTTGTTTGGATTGGATAAGCTAAGTGTTGAACAGGCTCTGGACCTCGATGTGGTTGGTTTTTTGGCTAAACATGGTGATAAAATTCGAACCAAGGTTGGAGATATCATTTCGGCTGATTATTGTTAAGTTGCTGTTTTTCATCTACTTGTACGAATAACGGAAACGGGTGAGTGATTTTTTTATTTCATTAAACGCTTACACATTTGTCGGAGAAGAGCTCCATCCACCATGGTTGTATTAATGTCGAAAAAAGAATTAACATACTGACAAACCATTTTGTCGTTGCTTGTTCGGCTATCCGTAAACAAATGCACAATATTAGTGTATGACTCACCACCACAGCGTCGTAGAATAAAAAACAAACAGTACTGCCCACAGACAGTGCTAAATTCAGACTGAAACTGTTCATTTTGTAGAGTTATTTCATTGGCTGCCACCAGTGACGCAAAATGCGGAGAGTAGCTTTCCAAAGTTTTCCCGTACGAATCAAACATTTCCATTTTACCAGCCTGTTCTTGGTACAGCGCAATCCAGTGTTCGCCTTCTTGGTCGGCTGGGTCGGTATTCACCACACACGCTCCCGGAAAAGGTGCCAGTGTTGCTGGAACTTGATCGCTGGCATACACCCCACGAAATACGGCTGTGGTCTGAGGTTTCCCATGGAGTGCTGAGGTAATTTCCTGTGTATTCATGTTGTAAAGTCCGCAATGAGCTGTCGATGCTGGTTGATTTCGATAATGCTGTCATAGACCAGCATGCACACCATCATAATGGTATTTTTCAATGGTTTGCCAAAAGACACCGAGACACTCAGGTTTCCCTGTTTGATCAGTGTCAGTGGTCCACGGCCGGTATGTCCTGGCGTCAAGTCGAATCCAAAAATGGTGTATCCGTCATTATACTGGGTCCGATTGAATGGTAAGCCGCCTTGCAAACTGGGTCGGTGTCCCAGTGTGTCCAGCAGCCCGTCGTAGCACTCCAACGATAGATTATGCGCAAAATCGGCAGTGTAGGGTTTCGTAGGGTAGCTCTGACCGTCCACTTCGACGCTGATTTGTGTAATGTTGAAGTGTTGGAAGTTGAAAGGATTTTTCTTTTGCGATCCGTGAAAGTCTTCGCTGTCCACAAAACCAATAAAGACAACCTTGGGAATTTGTCCAATCTGCAAATTGCTGATTACGGTGCTTTGGGTTCGTTGGGGAATGTCCGACACGCGCATCACCACGCGTTCGATATGGTACTTGACCGTCTTTTTCAACAGTTCTCCAGCGACGGCGGTCAGAAAGTCCGGTGATGGAATGTAGCGACGTACTGACAAACGCGCGTTACGGATAAATGGTTTGAAGGTCTTGGTGGTGTCCGTATCCCATACGCGTAGGGCAAACTCTGGTCGACTTACCACTAGGCGAATATTGACGGGAACACCGGTGCACAGCGGTTTGCTTTGGTCAAAAAGGTCCGAAAATAGCTTGCCGGAAAGCTGCACGTATTGTCCCGCATTAAATAGTGCCGCTCGATTTTTTTCACCGTTATTGGCGGTTTCACTGTTGAAGGAACCTGGGCTATCGTAATAAAAAGCGGCAGATGTCAGTTGGCTTTGTTGGGCGTCCAGTGTGTGAGACAACAGTGATTCTAGGTAGGCGCGGTACGGGTAGAAAGTTGCGGCATCCGAGATCAATCGGTTGGCTACCGTCACATGGCATGAGGAAAACAGGGAGTGCAGAAGGTTGTTAACTGGTGCCACTCCATCAGCCGTTGTTATCAGTTCCCATTCACCGGTACTCTTACGGACTTTAATACCCACTTCTAATTCCAGGATCATGTCCGCTAAACTGAGTAGTCCGGACGTGCTAGGCGGAATGAAGAAATTGATGTCACCGGCTGATCCGTTGTCCGTTAGGATGGTAGTGGGGTTGAGCTTCTCATGCTCGGTGCGCCATCGGTCCGTTAAAGTCGCCGGTAATGCAAAGAGCTGGTTCTCCAGTTGCATGGCCGGCTCCGAATTTTCCATCATCAACATGGCCATTTTTCAAAAGAAGTCGGGGATATTGGTAGGAGGAATACGTTTAACTCGTAGAACTTTACGTCGAACTCGTCGTTTTTTCCGGACACCTTCACCTTCTTGGGAAGCGAATCGTTTTCCAATGGCTGTTCCCGCACGCGAGGCTACCTCTTTAATAGCCCCGGTCGCCGCTTCTTGCAGGTGAGGGGTAGCCGCTTCAAGAGCGGCTCTGGCATGCGGTGCCGCCTTTCGTAATATGGGTTGAACAAATCCTGATAGCTTGGCAAACAGGTTTTTCAAAATCTGCGGGAAGCCGGATCCGTTTTGCAGGGTTCCTCGGTACCGGATCAATGCGCTGCCACCCGTCTGACTGACAAAGACGTTTTCATATCGCCGGGGATCCGGCACGTACGCAACGAGAGGCATTTTAGTAGAGTCGTTGTGGTCGGAAATGTAGCTTTACAAGGGATTTTCCCGTTTGAAACTTGGCGTCGTCTCCCAGGTCGTTGGCAATGGTCAGCTTTATGGTTTCGAAATGTTGGCGTAATACAGGGACATAGTGGGGAATGTCGAATCTGGCCTCCACAATCTGATTGACTTCTCCTCTAATAGGCACGGAACGTAAAAACTGCGCTGCGGTATCGCCGATCAAGCTGTAGTCGGCCACATCGCTGTATACAAACAGGCTTTGATTACCCAGCAGAGTGTTGACCGGTCGCTCCGAAATAAAGCTGGTCAATTTGGGATTAGGAGGCTTGGCCAGAAATGATAGGTACTGGATACTGATGTTCTTTGTCTCCATAGGAAATGGACCGATGAACGCATTGCTGTTACTTTCCATCGGCACATCCGGTTTTAATACACTATGTTCAAATCCCAGCATTTTTTGTAAGACTATTGACGACGGGGGAAAGACGACGGAAACCCGATCGTTGCCAATATTTAGTCGGACCCGATGATTGGTGGCGGTCAGCAGTTGAACGGTGAAAGCTCTGTCCGCAGTCAAAGCGCTCTTGTCAGCGTGCACCGTATCGTCCACCATGTACGATCCAACCTTGGGTACCAATGAATTAATGGTTTTCAGTAACAACTCTGCATCTTTGTAATTTCCAGGGGGGATAGTGATCTCGTCGGTATGGACAACTTGGTCCGCGGCCTCCAAAAAATTCGCTTCATCCTTTTTTAATCTGAATTCTCGAACGATGTGCACCTCAATCTTTTGCTCAACTGGAAGTGTGAAAAAGGAGTTGAGGTACTGTAGTTCAACGAGGGCCATTTCCCATTTCCCTTTCAGGGTAATGGGATGCTTCAGTTTGGTCGTCCAATTGGACGGAGTATTGTTGGGGTCCGTGGCGACGTCGCTTGGCAGCGTCACGTAGAACGGTGCTCCTTCATACATGATGCCTTGATCCAGGAATCGTGTTCAGGTCCGTAACCTAACCACCGTACTAATATCTTTTCTCCACGGCGTTTAATAACGCGATCAATGGTATGTTCTTTGTGTTCCGGGTGCGACACTTTGGAAAGTTCGTGTTCATAGAATGTTCCTTGGATAGGTTGGTCTTGGTAGTCCTGTAGTCGGTATACCGGTACGGTATGGGAAATGACTTTATTAACGTAGAACACCTCCTCCTTAAATCGATACGTATAGCTTTTCTCCACCTTGGTTTTGTGCACAGCGATGCGAACCGCATCACCGACCTTGAACCGAGGTCGCCGGGCCTTATTCGTAGGATACAACTTGTTAAATACTGCCAATGAATTGTGTTGTGTGACGTCAATGGGTCGCAATCCATGGGCCCGATGTTTTGAATGGTTATACGAGTACACGAAATCTTGCAGTTTATCAATGTACCGCGTCGACACTCGCGCTCGGAACAAGCGAAACATCCGTGTTTTGATGGTGCGAATGACGCGTTCGGCCATGGCACATTTGATGTCTTCGTTTTCCGATGTGAAGAAATGAATCTTTTTTTCTTTCAGAAAAGTCTTGACGGTGGTGTTAACAACTTCGGTTCCTTTATCGTATTGCAGCTTCTCCGGTTCGCCGAGTTCTTCAAAGGCCTGTGACAAGGCGTTTTTGGTTTCTTTGGCCGTTTTGTTTTCATCGGTTGAATGCTCAGCTTTTGGAAAAGCAATCAATCACAAAGAGCAGGTGTTTGTATCCATCATTTTCTTTGGAATATTTTGACAAATCAGCCAGATCCGCTTGGTACTGCTGGCGAAGGTTGGTCACTACGATCCGATTGCGCGCGAACCGCCGGCGATTTTCCTTGGTCACAGTGTACGCATCGATCTCCTGCAGAATCTCCTGTGCTTTCCGTCTGTTGGCTCTGGTCTTGAGACTTCTTCGAAACCTTTCCACGCCTCCAAGACCGCCGGGGTCGCGTGGGTTGAGGTATCGCTTCATTAGCTTCTCCATTCGCTTTGTTACAACAGGTAGACACGCAATTGATCTTAAATATTCGGCATAACCGTAATACACTAGGCAGCAAGCTAGCCATTACGTCAGAGTAATCCACTGTATTCTGGGCAGACCAGATCCTGTTTGGATGGTACGCGAGCGCAGCTTCTTCACACTGCCTTCGATCTGGTGCGCTTTTCTTTTCTTACCCCGCAAAGGCGTGGTGACCGGAAACAGAGGTCGCCGCGGTCGCTTGCGTGGATACGTTGGGTTCTCGACCTCTTCCGGTTGTCGTTTCCGACCCTTCCTCGGTGCAGTCGGGGGAAACAGGGCTATGCGCGCTGTTTTGGTAGGTCGCAGTTCTGTACTCTCGTCTTGGAAACGCCGCTTGCTTCCTTTCTTTGGCAGTGATGGTGGAAACAAAGCAACGCGAGCTGCCTTTGGTTTATTGCTGTCACCCGGTTCGCTTTCCAAGTCCCGTTTTTGTCCTTTCGTGGGCAAATCCGCCGGAAATAAAGGTTGTCGAGGCTGCTTAGTAGACTTTGTTGATTCATCCGTCTCTTCGGGGTGTTTCCGCTTGCGTGGAACGGGGCGTGCTGGTAGCGACGATACTGTCTGTGGGGTAGAGACTGTCGGTTGCTTCTCTGATGCTATCGGTGGTGGTTGTGCAGTAACGTCTGTCGATAACTCCAGCGGATTTTCATCGGGTATTGCTTTCTGTTTCAGAGCGAGGAACCGTTCAAGAATGCTGCTTAGCTGACCAGCTTTTTCAAATTCACTTATATCGGTTCGTTGCAGGGTTTCGGCCACTAGTGCATCCAACGTTATGACGCTGTGGGCCTCTGGTGGCTCCTTGTTGATCTGGAGCTGATTCTGCATCCGCTTCTCCATCACACGACGCGGTACTATAAAGAATTCATCCATTACCGATCAGGGATGTTAAAACTCCAGCAATGACGGGTAAGATAGCTCCAATGAATCCTCCTTGCTGAAATATTTTCCGTTTTTCTTTGAGTGGATACCGGCGCAGAGCGATCAGCTTTAATGCTTTTCGGTGGCGTTTACATTTCTCCGCTTGCGTTGGTGATAGGTTCACAGTATTCTTCACAATGTTGACAGCAACTTCTTCCAATGCTTTCATCTGAGTCTTGGTCAGGTAGCTCATCAACACCTTTCGCTGTTTTGGCTTGAGGTGTTGAAGCGTAATTATAAAGGGTGCCAAAGCTTTCACGCGTTCGGACATTTTGGTAGATCATGGGAACGGTTTCGGTCGAGATAGATACGCATTTGTTGATTCGGTAGCACATGGGAACGAACCCTTAAATAATCGGGGCACATGGGGCGTAAGTCCAGCACGAGCGGTTGATATGCCTCCGTCGTGACTTTGTTGTATGCATCCACCAAATGTTTTAGTCCAGTTTGGCGAGCCAGTAATGAAATTTGGTTAATGTCCCGCACGTTCTTAAATAGTATTAAGTACTGAGAATTTAACGTTATGTCCCGCATTGTCTTTCCCTGTTTGTACAGGTTCTGGAGAAGCATAATAACAGAAATATTCTTGTGGTGTATACCACGGGTGAACAAGTCAGAACACCGTACGTCCTTACATAAATCCGAAGCCAAGTCGTCGATAACCACCAGCGTGTGACCATTGTCATTAACCGATTGTATAACCGAGAAAAGGTCATCCAAACCATGCACAAACTCGACTTGCGCAATTTCTTTTTGCAGATCTTCAAAGCTTTTCTGCCACTGGCCATAGCAGTACAAAATCCGGCTCATGGACTGATCAAAAACTTGGGCAGCGTTTCTAATTAACGTGTAAACAAACTGCGTTTTTCCTGACATTGTCGGCCCGCAAACACACATACCGAAAGGAGCGCAAAAGCGCGGGTAATCCTTTATTATGCTAAACATTTTTGTTCTTTACGATACCAACAGAAAACAGTAGCTGAGAGCTTAAATAGATAAGTCAAGCAAAAAAAAGCTTAATTTTCCCAGTAACACGTTTACGGCACAGCGGACACTCTCGCAACCGTTTCGCACAAACATCGCAGCAGATCGCATGCCCGCATGGTGTAAAACATAACGATACCTTCTTATCCAGACATACACTACAGTCCTTGTCCAGCTGGCTTTGCTCGTCCAGTCGCATGTCGGTGATGCGGGCTTTAATTCGCTTGGCGGCATTTATTAGATCCTTTAATTCACGAAACGTTTGCAAACGATGCTTGTACTGTTGAACGGCCTTGATGAGGTATGTATAGTGGTAACCGTCCTCTTTCGCCAATGCAACTAAGTACTCTACTTCATCTGTTTTTGGTCCGCGAGACCATTTCATTGTGTCCATATTGTGGAGCTTTTGAACATCGTAAATAAAATGATGACCCTTTTTTCGATTAGGTACGCGCAATCCGGTTCAAACTTGGCATGCTCGATCCACGGATCGTCATCCACTGTCCACTTTTCCAGCTTACGACCGCAGCAGAAGCACCGGACCCGGTCTTCTCCAGCCTCCATGAAGAAGAAACCCGCACGTGCCATGTCATTCGCTCGATGCGTAACCCATCCCGGCCAATCAGCGTACGTTGCGAAGCGCTCTCGATATTCTTTCATAGCGGGGACGTAGAGCTCGTCATCAGGGACCATCGCAGCATAAGAGCAATTAGGATTAGATCGCCGGTGCTCGAACATGGGTTTGTCACCCATCATCCAGTTGAAGTGTACGACGTTGCAGACGACACACTTGACTTCATCTCCTGTACCCGTATAAATATATCCCGCTTCCGCTAACGACTGTGGGGAAACGTAAGCCAGAGGCCACTTTTCAAACGTCTTGAACCGATCGGCAAAATTCATATTCCGCTCAGCATTCTGCAACTAAACGAAAGTCTATTTAAGGACCTCAGAACGCAGTCGTTTGCTAACGCTTACATTATGGCAAACCTACAGCATATGCTGTGCTACGCGCGCAACGTGGAGCAAAAATGTGAAAAAGTGCTTTTGATTCTTCTTTATGTTGTATTTTTTGTGGTATTCGCTGCATTTGTCGTTACGGAAGGAGTCGGAAAAATCTTACAAAGTGATCACTGGAACAAAACCATGCGAAATTTAACGTCATAACTCACCGGCATGATTGGTACCGCAGCAGCCGTAAATCCTTGGATTTGGATATCTCACTGGTATCAACAAAAAATGGTTTGCTAACTTAACTTTTTAGCTTGGAAGCTTTTTTGGAAAAAGCACTATATCGGTTTGCTCCGATGTAATTATTTGTGCTTCTTTATATATTTGCTGCTACACCCAAAAACAGATTATCTGTAATGCAGTGATAACCGACTTCAATTATACTCTACTGATAAACCTAAATTATGATAACTATAAACGATTAACCAACAGCATCCAGGTAATCGAAAACGATTACCGATACCAAAAGTTAATTATCTCATTGAATATATAAAACCCCCTACTACCCGCAGCGCATCACCAGCATTTTGTCTTTGAAAAAGAAAAAAGATAAAAATTTTTTAATCATACTTACGTCATTATGTCAACAGTGTCCGCCGCCGACATGGAGAAAGCGTTTCAAAATTTATTCGAAAAGCTGGGCCCCCAAACACCAGGCTTGGTTTTTTACCGAAAGCAGATTCCACCATCTATTTTGCCTGATCTCGCCAAGTTTCAAGGGCTTAAAAAGCTCAGCCTGATTGACTGCAACTTGCGCTCGCTGGAAGGGTTACCACGGCTCCCCGATCTACGTATATTAATGCTGGGTGACAACAATTTGGACGACCTCAGCCCCATTCCTAACTGCTTCCCCAACTTGGAGAAGTTGTCCGTTGTGGGAAATAGAATTAGACTGCGGGATCAGCTGCAACCGCTGACGCGTCTGAACAAATTGCGCGCCTTGGACGTCGAAGGAAACGACATCTGTGAAATTCGAGGACACGACCGTTGGCTGAAAGACACGTTCCCACAGGTGACGCATTTTATTATCGTCGCGTACGATGTGGACGGCGATGAAGAGGACGATGGTAATGCTACTCGGATTCTTTGCAGTAAGTTGGTCACCTCTCATTTTTATATACTGATAAATACCAGATCGTTAATTATAGATGAACACCTGGACGATGATGATGAGGCATTCGACGATGATCAGATGGACAATTTAGAAGTAATAATGGTCATGCCAATTGACTTACTTGAGAGTATTTGAATGCTCCATTTATCGATATTGCATTCTCCACTTTATAGTTTAAGTGTTTATTGTTTTGCGACTTGGAATGCGCTAACTGCGGTTGATAAAATAAATGAATTGAAAAACGGTGATACCGTACGATGTTTTACCTCCTTTACAACAACCTTTTACAGTCTTCATAACGTTTACAGTAATGTTACCAACACCAGCGTGTACAGTATATCTCCGGACTTTCATTTTATTCCCCATCCACTTCAAAAAAATTGGCTTAAACTCTCCCGTATACAAGAATTATATTTCCTATGTACCAGGATATCCCGTATACAGACATTATAGTGCCTGCGTACCAGGCTATCCCGTATACAGAAAATATAGTGCCTGTGTACCACCTTGTACCTTCTACTACTATTGTCGGTGGTTATTTATACATTACTGGCGGAAAATTAGAGAAAAACTCCAACTATGTTGCAACAGCGGACTGCATGCGTTTGGAGCTGGGTACATCTACGTGGGAAAAGATAGCCCCACTCAGCGAGCCCAGATTCCTACATTCTGCTTGTGTTATCAAGGATCGGATATACGTTTGTGGCGGGAGCAGTTATAGAGACGAGTGCGTCAGTTCAATAGAGTTTTACGACACCAAAAGCAGCGCACACTGGTTGACCGTCAGCTTTTCAAAAAGCGACTTCATGTTGTTAAGGAACTGGGCTGGTGAATTGGAGAATTCGGAGGAAATCATGACCGCCGTTCCTGTTGATTTAAATGGGAACACAACTCCGGACATGCGGTGGTTCCCTCAAGTTCATTGGTAACACCCCCTGCCGGGGATATGCGCTACCACTTTGATGAAGTCTGATGTAACTGAGCAACAGTGTCTCACATTACGTGTCTTCATACATGCAGGGCATCTTGGATTAATTCATGTAATTCATGGGGAAAAAACGGCGCAAATTCTTTTCTGAAATAATTTTTACTACGTTTATATCGTCCTTTATCATAGCTGGTTTACGGCATGGTTTAACACAGGGCAGAGGTACGAGGCAAGCGACAACTCTTTCCCATCGCTTTAGTAAATTTTATCACTTTCCTGCTGCATTTTACCCGTGTGTAGACGCTCACGTGATCCTGATATCGTATCCATTGTAATCAGCGCTTACTGAGCCGGCGATAAAATCTCGCCTGCCGTGCTCTTCTCTATATTCTTTATCAGTTTGCACAATCAACTATAGCTGCAAACCGACGTGAAACGGCTGAAATCAAGTATCACGTGAGCGCCTGCACACGGGTAAGATGCAGCAGGGAAAGTGATAAAATTTACTAAAGCGATGGGAAAGAGTTGTCGCTTGCCTCGTACGCATGTTGTATGAACCTAGCAAAGGTCCCATAAGTAACAAGAGAATACGCAGGAAGCTATCCCGGACTTCGACTGCAGCGAGCTCCCGACGCTAATTAATGCCAGTCCACTTGTCATGTAGATGATTGCAGATTTTTAGGTAAGTCGTAGAGTTACTTAAATAACTGGCTACGCGTTTAGATTGCGAACGAATGCGAACGCTAGATATGTAAGCCGGGTGTATATATAGCGAACAGAGGCATCGTTAAAGATAATTAAGGAAATACCGAATGACTTGCAACGCTTTCAAAAAGCAGCCAACCAGAAACAAATTTCTAATTACATTACAATTTCGTGCAGCTGCTACAAAGAACTCCATAATCGGTGGCTCAACGTAGCCTAGTAATAGCAATAAAAGCAAGCAAACGGCTTGGCGATCCGCGCTTCCCTGAAGAATCAGAATGGAAAGATTCTTACTGTTTAACGCCTGCGAAAGCCAGCAGATTGGAGTATATGTGCTGCCGCGCTCACGTCCCGATGGTCCGTGGACGTTGCATCCTGGAAATCTGCTCAATTGTAATTTTCGCCGTGACAGTGATTTGTCTCCGCTGAAGTGCAGTTGTTTCGCAGGACGGTTCGTGAATTTGTGCACCAAGAGCGGGTGCGCCATCCGCCGCATGACGAGGAAAAAAAAGCAACAGATCACTGAACCCGGTGATTTTACGCGCTTGGTTTGTTTGTCTGAACGATACTTGAAGAGTATAACACCGGCGTTAATGGCTGCGTTTCGGCAGCAAATCGACGAGTGTTACAAAGCGCGATGCATCTGTCTCTAAACAGAAAGCCGAAAGGATTGTGTACTTGCAAGCACCGAAGAGGAGGCAATTGCGAGCCATGATCTGCCATGACTCCTCTGCTTTTTCCCGCTGAGATCGACCTGTCAAATATTACATTACAGCTGTAACATGAGTCGGACAGCTGATACCTGGCTTTTTTTCGCAATATTCGTACAGGCGCAATATTTACATACAGGTCAACCGACATACGCTTTCCGGACAACGAAACGGTATGGTGTAGGGTCAGCCTGTATGATCGGCTGGGTGCAGCAGGTGCTGGGCGGTAGTGATCGACGCCTCCAAAAAATGATCTTTTTGTAGTACCCAGTGTTGCATTTTAAGTGATACGCGCACAGTCGCCAAACAGTTTCGGAGCATTCGTGCATGATACATTTATCGGACATCGGTTGATTATCACAGGTTTGCACAGTCGGTATTAACGTTTCTATTCGATGTCGATATTGTTTTACCCATCGGTGAATCGTTGTGACAATTTTCTCGTAAGTCACTGATGAAATTCTTATTCCGGGGAAACGCTTTTTTACGTGGAGTGTAGAACTTGTGCAGTTTTAAAACGTAGCAGAGTAGCAGAGATTCAGCAAGCATATTATTACAATAAAAAATCAGCTCTCAAGGTGCCTTCGCATTAAGCGCACATAACGTCGTGCGGTTCAGTTTGGTTATGTCTAACGCTTGCAAATTCTCTTCCGTCCATTTCCAGTCGCGGTAGTGGTTTGTGTGCCGTGGATCAGCGCTTTGGTACGAATGCAGAATCTATACAAAATGAGCACGCCATAAAACAAACCTTTCAGGGCGTAAAACACGAACCCGCATCCATGTATTACTTACCTTTGCAACGACGCTTTCTTTTCTGTCCGCACACAGTTCCTGGACAATCCGCTCTGCAGTTGCCGCCGGAGGGATTACAGCATCCAAATGGCTTTCGAACATGTCCCAAAGTTCCGTCGCACTGCAGTTTTTCAAATCGATGACGGCGTGCCGGATACGTGACCGTAAGCACTCATCTTCCAGGATGACAGCTCTGTATACAGTTTTATCGCAGACCGCAGCCAGTTTACGATAACTGTCGACCATCTCGTCAAAGCACTCTGCCAGATTCTCATCGTGAAGGTTAATGTAGCGCTTGCAGAAGACCAATCGCTGGATGCGCCGTCCAGTGCCGCTCAGCACCTGCCGCACACAATCGATGACCGGTTTGCCCCAATCCCGGGCGTACAAATTCTTTTTATCATAGTCTAAGAAACAGATACGACGCGTGGCAGGTGTAATGTGTTTGAGGATGCAATTGTACACCGCGTAATACGTTAAATCCATGCTTGACCAGCGCGTCGTGAAAACGGCATGGTCGAACGACACCCGCACTTCGCTGCACACTTCGGCAGACGTCAGGATGGCATCCCATGCGTAGCAGGTACGTCGACACCGCAAACGACCAATGGTATCCAGTGACTGGAAGATATCTGCTAGAAGTATGAGCGGCAGCGAAATTCCGCGACCACATGTTGTAAGCGGCTTTTTGCGTTTGGTTTTAAGCGGTGGTGGATGAAAGCTGCACCGGTATTCGCGTCCGCATTTCACATACAAGCCGGAAACAGTTTTCGCTTTCTCAAAGCACCCCGCCTAAGAACAGTTTTTCTGAACGTTTTCTCAGGTTATTCTTTCTTACTAAATTTTGATTAAATTAAAATAAATCTGCATAATAAATTAAAATAAAGAGAACATATAGTACATTAAAGTAAAAAGTAAATTCATATTAAATTGTTAGACCTACGAGGTGGTCCGCCGTAATCGGTCTTCCAGTGCGGTGCTGCATCATCAGCATCTTCTCACTGAGGACGGAGATGCATCGTCCGCCGAGATCGTCGTCGATTTTTTGCGATAACGCCGCTGACAACGCTGGAGTCACACTCGTCCAGTACCCTTCCGGGAGATTAACGCAGCGCGTGACAAAGTCGCCGGGCTTGATAACTATCCGTTGCAGCTCTTCGTCGGTCATCGGATATAGCATTTGACTGCTATGAATTAGTTCGCGGCGCAACGCTCCGCCCATATCCACTTCCACGAACATCCAATCATCACCGTACTCAAACCCAAAAATGAGGAGTTTTCCGGGATACCATACCCACGGATCCTCGGGGCGGGCGCGCAGCAGCACCCGCACGGCCAGTCTGTCGGCGTTCGCGGGCGGTGGACCGTAGTCATCCTCCCAGGGATGGGGAAAGCGCGGGTTGCCGCACCAGAACCACGATGACGGTTTGTCGAACCATGCATCGAAGACCTTTCCGAATTCCACAAGAACGGAGCGTCGGGCTGGACAGTGGAAATCAACAATCAACCCGTTCTCCACCACGTTAACGACGCTGCCGTGCTGCAGCGGCCGGTTTTCATCCATCAAAGCGTACACGGAATTCCACTCGGTCACTTTCCGCTCATTGATTTCATAAAAATGCATTCCTCCTCTGAAACATGCGGCTGACTATGCGATACACGATACCGCTTGCAGCCAGGTCTGGTTGGTTGTCGACAGAAAACTTCGACACAAAATTAATACGCAAAAATATTGACAGCACGCAAATATTAGGAGCGTATGACGTATTCCGCACAAAACCAAACTTGGCAGCTGCTAAATCCAGTTGAAAATTACCAAATTAGCATGCTGTAACATTGTAATTACATCAAGTTCCGTTGATCTGCAGCATTATACAGATGCATGTTGCTCCTATCAGAGCTTTATTTGATAACCGCACCGAACAAAAGCTGCGAATAAGTTGCACCGATCGTTTCAAAGAACCGATAAAGAGATATTGCTGAGATAACTGCAGGTAAACCAACTGCAGGTAAACTGACACAAAGCGACACCAACATTGTGTCAATCAGTGGTAGTAAACCGTTTTATATTAGGTCAGGTACAGTTAAGCTGCAGTGGATTCGTATTGTACTTGTACATCTACGTACTGGTAATGATTCTGTGAACGTTGGTATGCCGAATGGCTAACTGTGCTGTGTCAACTAGGATTAACAAGTTATTTTAGTTTTTTATTCAACAACAGCATAAGAAATGCGGAAAGACATTCGAAGTCACTCCACTTAAAACTGAGGTAAATTGAGCATTAAGAAGCTGTGAAATGATTTGCGTTATCCGAAACTCAAGACCGAACATTCACTGCCCCAAAGCAATAGCAAAGTTTCTTCCAGTAATAAACAAACTTATAAAATGAAGAACACATTTTTTGTATTCCGTGTTGTTAACCAACTTTACAAACTACAGTTTTCTACGTGAAGAGAGTAAGACACACACGCTTCCGGTTGAATGCTGCTAGAAAACCGGTCTGACACAAACTGACGCTCGTTGTGGGACCGAATGCGGGGTATCGGACCAAGTCACCATTTAGTCGCAAATTGCAGACGCTGTCTCAAAAATGCGGTCGATAAGGTTCCCCAGTCACGCTGCTGAACTTTCTACCAACAATGCGAATACTCTCCGTCACCCTGCACCAAATGTCTCGACGATCAAAGGGTTAGACAGGTGGTCCATCACGTCGAGGACAGTGTATTCGCGACGTTTGCTGTCTTCCAAAGTTGACACTCTGCCAGGCGGCTGCAAACCTGCATCCACAGTGCCCAAGCATGCAGCATTCCATACCACAGCTTTACCAGCACATGCGGGAATCACCGTCACTTGACGATCATGTAAAGGAAGGTATGGGATAACGTAAAGTGATGTGTTGCTGCGCAGATCAGAAAAGGTTCCCATTTTCGCATCAGAAATGTCGATCGTCGCCTTTGCTTGAGCGTCAGTGTACATGCACTGTCAACGTTGGGTGAACGGGGCGATGGTCCTAACAAATGCCGCTAGTTTCAGAAACGTGTACCTATGCCCGCAGGCAGAACGTGATTCTGTCGTGAAAGATACCTGACAGACTGGTAGTCGAGTTGCATATGCGGTACTACTACATATACGAATAGTAGTACATGTACGTACATACTTGCTTATTAATATTATAGTATATAGACACATGCTTGATTGATAGTGCTCATTGTCAGTGTTACTGTAAACAAGCATCAACGCTACTGAGGAGTTGCGTTCGTTACTGAGGAATTGTATTCTTTTGGTGCTTGAACATTTCAGGATGATATCGTTTTGTCGGCATAACTGAAACCTGTGAATATAAGGTGAACTAAAGTGCTATGGAATAAGAACAATGCTTCGGTTTACAGCACTCCAATGGATTATTATGATACCAGTGTACTCGGTACTGCGGAATGCGGAGCCGGCCTTGGGAGTCCCGACAGGTAGCCAGCGGTGAAAATATTTGTGTAGTTTCGAAGTACTGTAATCTTGCCGTTATCATAGTTATGACAATGTTATATAATTTTTATCATTCTACAATGTATCAATGTATGTAGTTGTAATATGTAGACAACCCGGTCACCGCTACAATTTCCAGAAAGAAACTTGAATGTCTCGTCTCCAAGTAGGCTGCGTAAGCACAGCAACAGAAAAACGGCTTTTGTGTTGTAACCCAGCGCTTCCATTTTATGCGCGCTGAACGTTTCCCTTGTTACACACATTTTGTTTGTATGATGATTTTTTGAACTCTAAACTGAACGGTTGATTTCTACTCCTATTTTTTTGTCTTATCTTGTGTATTGCAGAAAATCTTTCTGTGTGTGAATACGGGATGTACCGCAACGGATCCTTCGGTTGCGTCAACTGCGATTGCTTCCGACCTGGAACCAGTATTCCCCTCGGCAAGATTACTGCACTCAACATAGATTACGACGGTGTACTGCCGTGCGACGCCTTTTCTGGACAGTGTAAATGCTATGGAGAACATACTGGCCGGGCATGTGATCAGTGTGCACCGCTCACTTTCAACGACACTTCAGGAGTTGCCGGTGGCCCGCTTGGTCGCTGCATGCTTTGTAACTGCGAGCGTGAGGCGAGTACAAATGATACCTGCGACGCGGTGACGGGACAATGCACATGCAGGAACACAAACATTTTTGGCAGGACGTGCGATATGTGCCGGAAAGGATTCTGCAGTCATCCCCTGTGTGAGCCGTGCGAGAATGTTGTCGCTGCGGCACTTTCTGCCGCCTATCCAGCCGTGCTCAATGCGACGCTGAACATTTTTCGTGGTTTCTACTTTACAATGGCACGGGGTTATTTTGCATAACCCAAAAAACGCTGAAATACGATGCTTCTCCATATTTGTTTAGATCTGTGGTGGTTTCAGAAGAGGTAAATATTCATTAACCTAAAAAACTGATATTACAACTGAAAAATGAACAGCAACTTCAGAATCTATGTACAGTACTGTATAGTACAGCATTAAAAAAATAGCTCTAAGCCCAGATTAAACCGTGTATTCATGTAGCAGCAAGTGCGAGTAAATGCCGAAACCCTGAATTGTTATCCGATATGTACAAGAAAAAACCAACCCATGTAGTGACCGTACTGTTTTTTTGCGAAGACTTTGGTCAGAAAGCGGCAAGTTTAGCTAGGAAAGAAGACAATCGCTGTTTAACAGCTACAAAAAACGAGCTTTCACAGATATTTGACCAAATTTACTGATAAATTTAATCTCTGCGAAAACCGTTGCTTGCCATTTGCTTAGCCATCCGCTTAGTTGGCGGGGAAGTTGTTTACAGATAATTTGTACTGAAGTAATGGAAACAACCGCTTTTTCTCGATCCTGCACAAACCGCGCCCGAGGCATAACGTGATCGTGTCATGAAAGATGTCTGACAGCTCAGTCCAGTGCACATTACTGCGCGTTTAAGACCGCAGAATAAATTCAGCCATTTACAATTTATTATTACATATAACTTAAATTACGGCAATAAACGCCGCAAAGCGCCTAATAATAACAGCTGCTAAAATACAGTGTAAATAGGTGAAATTTTACTTATAATTAGACAAACGAACTATTGTTGAATTTCTGCTTAAAATGCAATATGATGCCGGAATGTCTCTTTCCAGTGCTTCACGATATTTTGGTCTCGCGGCATTTCTACTTGGGCTGACAGCGGGATCGGGACTAAGCGACCCAGAATCATCCGGTAAAATGCTGCGCTTCGGCTTCGCCGCCAACTCGAGCAGTGCTGCATAACAGCCTAAAAAATCTTTCATTTGATCATTTTCCGGAGCTTTTCCAAAATGGATGGTTTTTCTAGGCGGCAGGCTCTGTGAAACGGGAACATTCTGGACGGCAGCTACGGGTGCGCCAGCTGTGACTGCTACCCGTGGGGTATTGAGGATAACGGAATCCATCCGACACCCTGTGACCAACGTACTGGACAATGTGCCTGTCTTCCCGGCTTTGTCGGACGAACGTGCGAAGACTGCGCACCTGGCACCTACCATCATTCGGCGTTCCATTGCGCTGAGTGCCGGTGCTCGCCTGGTGGCAGTGTAAACAATGACTGCACTGAGCACGGTATTTGCACCTGCAAAAACGCCAATATCATCGGCGACTGGTGCGATGCGTGTCTGGACGGATTTTGTAACTTTCCAGTGTGCGAGCCATGTGAAAGCATCCTCAGCAGAATACTCCTCAATGCGTCGGTCGGTGTCGTTAAGCAGGCGTTTTTTATTTTTCGCGCTGTTTAACTGTTTGTAAAACGCTTTCGTAAAGAGAACAGACTCGCTGCGTTTTAAAAGTCGGTACTATTCCTCATATTAAATTAGCCAGTGCCGACTGGCGCCCAGTTCAGCGCTGCACGATCCAAATATTAGCACAGCGTCGTTAATCCGACAATTGATGGCGATTAAATGTTAAAATCAGTAATTGTGATAAATTGGCCTTTGTTAAAATCCGTAATAGATGAGCTAGAAAAGTGGACTCGCATTTTGCGGGCCGAAGTGTGACCGGCAAAAATGTCCCCCCTGTCCCCCCGGACATTTTTGCCGTGTCCCCCCTGCCACCATCGCCAAAACGGTAACCCTTTGGCCAGAATGGTGACACGGGGGACCTGTTAGGGAAACCTAATTTTCAGCTCAATCGGTGACCTTTGAAAAACTGAAACCAGCGTTACCATAGCGTTACTAGCTACAAACTACTCAGAAATCTAGGTTACCGAAGGGACATTGATGTCAGACTGAAATTTGTAATCTCTGGCACGGGGGACATTATTGCCGGAACGAATTACTAGGTGTCCGGCATGATGGACATTATTGCCGGAACGAATTACTAGGTGTCCGGCATGGGGGACATTATTGCCGGAACGAATTACTAGGTGTCCGGCATGGGGGACATTATTGCCGGAACGAATTACTAGGTGTCCGGCATGGGGGACATTATTGCCGGAACGAATTACAAGTTGTCCGGTATGGGGGACATTATTGCCGGAACGAATTACAAGTTGTCCGGTATGGGGGACATTATTGCCGGAACGAATTACTAGGTGTCCGGCATGGGGGACATTATTGCCGGACCGAATTACTAGTTGTCCGGTATGGGGGACATTATTGCCGGAACGAATTACAAGTTGTCCGGTATGGGGGACATTATTGCCGGAACGAATTACAAGTTGTCCGGTATGGGGGACATTATTGCCGGAACGAATTACAAGTTGTCCGGTATGGGGGACATTACTGCCGGAACGAATTACTAGGTGTCCGGTATGGGGTTTAATAATAGTTATAACAAACAAAGTACTGGCGCATCTTATAATGATAAAATGCCGTAACCTACACATTTCCGTTGCAAACCATGCGTTACCGGTATATTGGGGGCAAAACTAGGCATCTTCCACCGTTCGCCTGTACTGCTGCCGTCACCCGACTGGGGTGTGACGTTGTGGCTGAACCTGGCGCTTTCTTACCGCGCCAGAAACAGGTTAAACCATATGTACTGCCGCATCTGCGACCTTACTGACAAAATGACGAGACTACATGAAACAAAGGCGGTACGTAGCTTCCTGTCAATAACCGCCAGCTCCGATGTGTTTAAAATTGCCATCGTTCTCACTTTGTCTTTATTTTGGCCAAATGACACCGGTCAGGCTTCTCCTTACCACGGGTAAACGGCCCGTCATCGGCACCCCGCCACATCGTACATTGTACATCTAATATAGGGGGAATCTAACTGCTGAGGCCGGCACTCCCTGTACTTGATGCCGTCACCCGCCTGGAGTGTGACGGTACGGCAGCAAATACGGTTAAATCAGGCGCGGTACATAAGCACCATGTTTAGCCACAACGTAAAACTCCAGCCGGGTGACGGCAGCAAGTACAGGGAGTGCTGGCCTCAGCAGTTGAATTCCCCCTATATTTACATAGTACGAAACCATGTTACTTATGACTTTTGGACCATTAAAAGACTGCTCAGAAACCTTCTGGGTCTTAAAAAGCCAATTACGTTTTTAAAAAACATTTAGGCCAATATTTGTCGAGCCTCGCCAAGGCAGTAACGCAGACAGAGCTTAAGAAAGAAACAAATTTCCAGAAAATTACCATGTTTTTAGGGAAGGCAAAACTTTTTTGAAACATAAAAGTGTGTCACGACTTGAGCTGGCGGTAATATTTTGATATATGCCCCGGCACACTTCTTGATTAGTGCTACTGCTACACTGTTGGCTTTTAAATCATCTCCGTGCCCTTTCGGATTAGATGGCTGCGGAGTTCGTGGAAGTTGCCGGTCATTCACAGACACATCAAGTGATACCACAGAGTTGTTGTACGGATAACTACCCGTAGCACTTGGAAATTTTTGTACTGTATTGCCTTGCTTTTGCGAATGCGGGCAGTGTTTACCCTTGCAAGTGCTAATTTCAATACACCAACTCTATAGGATCAGTTGTGACTTGTGAGGATCGCTACAGTACTGACTCTGTACCTGCATTGTACATGTATTGTCGAAGCGGAGTACGTCTGCAGACTAATCGTAAGTAAAAGGTATTCCAGGATACGGAAATTGATAACGCTGAAGCCGCCCAAGTAATAATTGACTTATTCATAACAAATGATTAACTAATGTGAACCAATGCAAAAGGTAAATAAGAATAACTCTGTACAAAATCATCAATTATTACGTATGTGAGTAATGTGACACATACGTAGAACAATTAAAACTACATGCTATCGCGTTGTTAGATTCACTAAATACAAACGGTACCAGTGTAATTACCGCTGCAGCACAGTACTAAAAACGCTGCAATCCTCAGTACTTATGATTCTTGTTTTGATTCTCACCGGCAGTACCAGTAACAGTTTCCTGCAACTAATAGCAAGACGAAAAGCGCTAGTCAAATTAATACCAAAAATTCGTATACTGAATTCAGAAATTAATAAGCTTTGTCAGATTCAAAAATTTAAAACCGGAAAAATTAAGATGTTGACGCTATTCTTCAAAACTGGTTCTTGCTGTTATGTGTTTGCACTGGGTATATCGCATTCCAAAAGATGAATGTGAAAATAAAATAGAAGTTTCATAGCTTAAAAATTCTTTCATCCGTTATTATTTCCTCTTCCTGGAAAAATTTTGAGGCAAACAAAGCAAAAATTTCAAACATCAAAACGCTTCTTCAGCCCCTAAACCATTCCTGACCTCGAGTTGCTAAAAACAAGGCTAAATATGATGAGAATTTGGATAGACTTACAAATTTAATTTCAAGTACTTGCTTGCTAAAACACCGTAAAAACTAAATAAATATGGAAAAACTAAAACGAGTTCCTTTCTGGAAAATAAGCTATTAAACGCAACGCTATATGCTCAGCAAATTACGGCAGTAATGTCCCCCATACCGGACAACTAGTAATTCGTTCCGGCAATAATGTCCCCCATGCCGGACACCTAGTAATTCGTTCCGGCAATAATGTCCCCCATACCGGACAACTAGTAATTCGTTCCGGCAATAATGTCCCCCATGCCGGACACCTAGTAATTCGTTCCGGCAATAATGTCCCCCATGCCGGACACCTAGTAATTCGTTCCGGCAATAATGTCCCCCATACCGGACAACTAGTAATTAGTTACGGCAGTAATGTCCCCCATACCGGACAACTAGTAATTCGTTCCGGCAATAATGTCCCCCATGCCGGACACCTTGTAATTCGTTCCGGCAATAATGTCCCCCATACCGGACAACTTGTAATTCGTTCCGGCAATAATGTCCCCCATGCCGCACACCTTGTAATTCGTTCCGGCAATAATGTCCCCCATGCCGGACACCTAGTAATTCGTTCCGGCAATAATGTCCCCCATGCCGGACAACTAGTAATTCGTTCCGGCAATAATGTCCCCCATACCGGACAACTTGTAATTCGTTCCGGCAATAATGTCCCCCATGCCGCACACCTTGTAATTCGTTCCGGCAATAATGTCCCCCATACCGGACAACTAGTAATTCGTTCCGGCAATAATGTCCCCCATGCCGGACACCTAGTAATTCGTTCCGGCAATAATGTCCCCCATGCCGGACACCTTGTAATTCGTTCCGGCAATAATGTCCCCATACCGGACAACTTGTAATTCGGTCCGGCAATAATGTCCCCATACCGGACACCTAGTAATTCGTTCCGGCAATAATGTCCCCATGCCGGACACCTAGTAATTCGTTCCGGCAATAATGTCCCCATACCGGACAACTAGTAATTCGGTCCGGCAATAATGTCCCCATGCCGGACACCTTGTAATTCGTTCCGGCAATAATGTCCCCATACCGGAAAACTTGTAATTCGGTCCGGCAATAATGTCCCCCATACCGGACACCTAGTAATTCGTTCCGGCAATAATGTCCCCCATGCCGGACACCTAGTAATTCGTTCCGGCAATAATGTCCCCATACCGGACAACTAGTAATTCGTTCCGGCAATAATGTCCCCATACCGGACAACTTGTAATTCGGTCCGGCAATAATGTCCCCATACCGGACACCTAGTAATTCGTTCCGGCAATAATGTCCCCCATGCCGGACACCTAGTTATTCGGTCCGGCAATAATGTCCCCCATGCCGGACACCTTGTAATTCGTTCCGGCAATAATGTCCCCCATGCCGGACACCTAGTAGCTCGTTCCGACAATAATGTCCCCCATGCCGGACACCTAGTAATTCGTTCCGGCAATAATGTCCCCCGTGCCAGAGATTACAAATTTCAGTCTGACATCAATGTCCCTTCGGTAACCTAGATTTCTGAGTAGTTTGTAGCTAGTAACGCTATGGTAACGCTGGTTTCAGTTTTTCAAAGGTCACCGATTGAGCTGAAAATTAGGTTTCCCTAACAGGTCCCCCGTGTCACCATTCTGGCCAAAGGGTTACCGTTTTGGCGATGGTGGCAGGGGGGACACGGCAAAAATGTCCGGGGGGACAGGGGGGACATTTTTGCCGGTCACAGTTGAACTCGGAGAAATCCGGGGCAGCCGCGGCGCGCGCACAGCAGGATAAAGTGGCGAAGTATCGGGAAATTACTCAAGAGTCAAGACTGCATGCTCCTTGCAGTCTGCGTTGAAACGCTCGGACCGGACGCCTCACGCTTGGTCGCGGAAGTTGGGTCGATGGTAAGACAGAAAGCGGGCGAGGTCTGGGCGACGGAAGGCGAATCAGCACCCAAATCCAACGCGGGAATGCGGTCTCTGTCATGGGAAGAGCACCAGCATTGGCTAATTTAGACGAAACGTTCTGTTCTGCATGTTTAGGCCGCCTATTTTCGTTACCGTCTAAGACTGTCATAAAAGATCTTTTACTTTCAGTGAAAACTTGTAAATGTTTTATACCGTCAGAAAAATATAAAACTTATGGACGAAAAATGTTAGAGCAATGTTAAATACCAAAATTCGGTTGTTCTAGTGGGCTTCTTTAATAATGCACATATAACTCCTATCCGGTATGAAAAACGAAAAAGCCGGACACTAAAATTGGGTTAAAGACACCATGATCAGCTCCGCTAAATATGTATGTACATACAATCAATATAGAGATTCATTTCTGTTGGCTTACCGCAAGTTAGACTTACAAAAAGCCAAGTGGCAATGAGTAACAACAAATGACGCGGAAAAAACTACCCAATAATGCGATAACATACCAACTGTCACTGCCGCGATAAATGAATGACCGAACTTACGCTAAGTCAGACTGTTGATAAACAACCGAGTACATGTACTTTATGCATCTTCACATCGCACATGCAAAAAAGAGCGCGAAAATGTTACTGTATATCCAATTATCTTCAGTACATCGGTAAAGCTAATTACTGCCGTCTTGAATGACTATCGAGTTAGCTTTAATATTGCTTAATTAATAATTATTGCGCGAAGTTACCACCTAATTAGTAATGAATGCCATCTCAAAGTCAATAAATTAATGGTAGCATATATCTCTCTGCGTTGTAATTATGTTAAATCTGAATTTGTTATTTCACAGCGTCAATAACACAGTATTAACAGCATTAACGTGCAATGCATTGCAGTTGCATTGCACTCGTGTACACCGTGTAACGCGTAACACGCACAATGCATGGATAAGTCAACGATGGCCAACGGAAAATCTAGTCGAGACTAGATTTTTTGTTTGGCAATGTTGCCTTAAAGTGGGCATGTGTTGACTGTTGCAAGAAACCAATGCACAACGCTTGCGTTATCTCTGAATGACACATAGGACCATGACGCACAATCCGTTGGGCTGCATTATCATAAGGCAGTCAGAACTGAAAGTACCTAATGTTGTCAATTAGTAAAAGTATTAGTCAAAGTACCTAATGTTATCAATCATATGTAGTCGTACAGTCAGTCGCTCATGCCTCATGGCAATCTGACCGGAGCTGGCAGTCACAACATGCGTAAGCTGGTCAAACAAAAATTCCTATAGTGCTTATTTTCATACTTACATAATACACACAAATTTTTCGATGATGAAAGCAGCAGATAAAAGACAGAAGAATTCAACAAAAACCAACACACTGTCCTCTAACAGATTTAAAAGCCACGATGGTCGATGGGTAGGAAGTGAAGGAACCCATACAAAGTGTAAACTGTAGCCATCAACGTAACGCTTCGGAGTTGATGGTGAGCGTCACACAAGCGCGCACTGGAGAGGAACGGGCGCCGGGGCTCTCGATCGGCCGCACACTACTCCACCGATTCGACGCGATATCGTACACCTCCCAGTCGGCGAGCGGCACCCCGCTGCGGGTGTATCCACAGCACACGTACAGCCGGTCATGCAGCGCAAACATACAGTGTCCGTAGCGCGGCACGATCAGATCGGCCAGGCGCTGCCACTGGGAGCCGGCCACGCCCAACTCAGCCAACTGTAATCGTTCGCAGCTACTAAGGATGAGCGGTTCCACGCCGCCCGTCACGTACAGGTAGCCGGTATGCACTTTGGCGGCGAAGCTGCAGCGTGCCTGCCGCATCACCGGCAGCTCACTCCTTTGATTGGTCGCGCCGTTGTATACCTCGCCGGTATCCAGGATGGCGTCCACACGGCCCATGGCCGGATAATCGCCCATGACGAAGAAGTACTGGTTGTTCCACACGTTGAATGCCGCTTCTTTTCTGTGAATGATCATATAAAAAATATTGTGTACACCGTAAAAACTAAAAACCCATTTTCAGAATTACTTAACCACAAATTTCCAGTAGCCTGTTAAAGTTTCTGTTAATGGAGTTTGGCACCCATAGTTGCGTTAACAAGAATTAGTCGGGCAAAGCTAATGTGAATGTCCTGTATTCTGTAGCCAAGTGATTTCATTAACACAGAAATTAAATTCTTCGTGTGACTAGCGGCGATCGTTTTACAGCAGTGGCCAGTAAAATCAAACGATGGACAGCCGAAAGATGAAAATACTCGTATTGCGCATGATACCCAATACCCATGGTAACAACCAAGAGAATTTTCGCAAGACTGGTACAGGTATAAGAACCACAGGAAAACCTCAAACTAGGTGAGTCAGTTTCGTAGTGCACTGTTCTCGTACGAAGACTTTCGACGGCATGATTTGTGTATAACTAAATGATTTTGTACACTGACATGAAAACCAACTAACCTGATGTGTCCAATGTCCATTGCGGAAATCATGGCGGAAGTGGCTCGTGTCGGGATCGAACACGTAGGAAGCGCTGCTTTGCATGGTGACGGTGCTCCAGCCATACACCCGACCGTTGAGGCTAACCAGCGGTTCCACGGCGCCCGTCGGCTCCTTGCTCATGAGCTCCCTTTCCGTGTTTATTGGATCCGCAGCAACATTCTCATTCACCATCACCGTCAAAGCGTACGTCCGCAGGTGTGCGCCGCGCTCCACGCGGAACCACACCCTGTTCCCCACCACCGGACCCATCTGTATAACAATGATCCACGTCGTCAGTTCCTTCGGCAATGGAATACGGCGCAGTTTGTTCTGGCGCGCATCGTACAGGCGCAGACTGGCTTGGTGCCGGTCGGCAGAGAACAGACAGGCCACCTCGGTGAAGTGACGTTCCCGCGGCGCGGCGGTCAGACGGATAGCGGCCGGCGGGAAGAGGCGGGTCTGCAGGTCCAGGAGGACATCATGCAGCGGTCCGGCAGCGGTGAGGATGGCCATGGGCAGAACGTCGGGCAGAAGGTCCCAGCGAATCTCCGGTAGGAGAGCTTGGAAGGTCTCCGTCGTCCAGCGCGCCGGATATTCGACGCGCCACCATTGCATCACCTTCTGTCAAAGCAGGCGAGACAGTAGCTAGTACAAGGTACAGATATTGGCTATTTCGGCTCGTACTCCGACATTTCTCAAAAATGGATCGTTTCTATGATATATACGAGTATATTATTGTATGTACTGTTTAATGGTACTTCAATATATAATTATATTATAAAGCATTTCGGTCTGCAAAATCTACACTATCAAAACCGTCTGCTCAACTATACACAAACCAAAAACACATCATCAAGATCAAGCTGCTTCTCAACAGTTCCCAGCACACAAGCAGCATTACCGCGCTGAATCTCTATACTAAAACGTTGTAACAAAAAATGCTTCGCGCGGATTTCACCGGTCTGCTCTCTGATGCGTCTAGCCACCTCATTGATGAAATCCATGGTAAGAGGACCGCAACTTCCCATTGTTTCCAACGCTACGGGTTGGAAATTGTATCGATCAGCCAAGTCAGCATACTTGCCGCACTTCCGGTGTTCGGCCGCTTCTGCTGCGGCGCCAGCATGATCGGATGTCTGACCGATATATGTCTGCGCAAACGTGTCGGCTACGGTAACGTCCCACACCAACGCTTTGCCATTCTTCCAAGGATAATGAGTTAGTCCATCAGGCCGCTTGCCATTCTTCCGATCCAAACCAGGTGGTTCACGGATAGACGATATCTTCGCTGATCCAATCGCTCTTTGTGTGATATCGTTTCAATGCTCGTGGCGAGGTATCCGTCCCTTACTACGCTTACAAGATAGACCGTGGCGGCCGAACTTGTCAACTATATTACCACAAATACATTTATGCTCACTGCAAATAGGAGCACCCAACCGTAGCGCAACCGCGATCCTCACGGCCACATCGTCTAACAAATTACCAAGGCTGGCGACGGGCAGCCTTCGTCTATTCTGAACAAGATCACTTGCGAATCGAAATTTTTCGATATTTGAATAATAAATTTCAAAATCGACTGTTGTACTGCGTAACGTATTGATTCGGGTCTTCATTGTGCCGCAGTGATGGCCGGATAACTAGTAAAGAATAATCAAAAGAAATCGCAAATTGTACTCCTATCTAAACGGTCGTTAAAATTTAGCATCCATGGCCCTTGAAACTATGCGACCCTGGGAACCATCGGCTACTGCCATTACCAAGGAAGTTGGAAAACGCCTGCGGAATCATTCTAGAGAGATTTGATCCCAACAATTTCTGCGGCAGCGATTTTCCTTGGAGATACAGCAGGGGAAGGCGGCCTCAGTTATGGGGACAATAAAAGGCGTGGAAAATTTAAATTAGCTCTTTCTGTTATGATATTAAGCTGCAGTTTAACTGTTTGGTTTTAACTCCTACTGGTTTGTATTTTGTTCGTTTATTAATAAAAATGATGGCGATATCTAAAGAATACCAGAAATATTTCGTCCTTTCTGTAGGTCGAAGAATATAAATATTGCTACGTGTATGGCGCATAGCCACTGCACTACGTTACATCTCACTCGAATTTCTCCGTCAGCGTTTGTCGATTGAAATCCAAAGAGGCAACGCAGTTTCCATACTCGGAACCATGGATGGAGCCGAGAAATTCAAGGAAATATTTTTGTTGTAATTGAATCTGTTCTCTTTATATTCTGTATGAGTGGGACTGGCTTGCGCTAATAAATCACACGCTACTATACATAGCATTCTTACCTGGTAGAGCTCCATTTCGGAGAATCTCGGGACTAAGTCCTGCCGCAGAATGGCCAGAAGAGCGTTGAGGGTCAGATGCGCGTCTGCATTATACGCGTCGGCCATAGCCGGAACGTTTGGACTGGCATTCGCAGGCTGTACGCTGGCAGCTGGGCACGACGGCACGGCGGTTTTCGAGGCCATGGACATCTGGCAAGCGGCAGGCGGCGGCGCGTCTAAAGAACAGCTGTTCAAGCTACCGTTCGCAACGAAACTCAAAAACGGATAGAGTGGGAATCTGAAATGTTTGCAAGGCAGAAACCACATTACGCTACCACACCCGACGGCAGTAATTGCTTCTCGCTTCGGAAATTTCTGATTTCCCTTCGTTTTAAATTTTCTCCTTAACGTCGCCTATGATTCATCAATCACGTTAACGTTAGATATGAAAGTAT